TAAAAGTAGAAGTACCAGAGTGTAGGAATACTCTGTTTTAAGGTAAAAGTCGTCAAATAAAAGTAAATAAAAGTATTAACATCAAAATATAATTAAAGTAGTGATAGTGCAGATTGGTCCATTTCAGAATAATATATATGATATGTTTTATAATGATTGATCATGGAAGTGTTCTCAAAGCTGGTAAAGGTGCAGCTAGTTTGAATGACTTTGTATACTGCAGGGTAGCTTGTGAATTTACTCCAGGTGAACTAAAGTCTGATTTAAGACTTGATTATATTTCACATCATTCATCCAGATCTGGAAAGTAACTAAAGGTATTAAAAACATGTAGTGGAGTAAAAGTACACCATTTACCTCTGAATTGTAGTGGATTAGAAGTACAAAGTAGGAAATAATTAAAATACTCACGCAAAGTACAAGTATCTCAAAATTGTACCCCAGTACAGTACTTGAGTAAATGTACTTAGTTACTTTACATCACTGGTCATAGCAATCCATCACAATGTTAGATGTGTCAGTCTGGATCAAAATGGTGGACTGAGAGATCAACATTCTGATTGTACAGCAGCGCTGCTAGCTTGGCAACAATGGCAGCATTGGGTTTCTTGCAGTATTACAGTGTATAAAGATCAATATACTGTGGACCTAGTGCCTGCATTTTCTTATTGGTTTCTATTAGAATACTTTCATAATTATTTTTTAAAATATCTGTTTTTAATGGAGTAGGTGGACATCTGATTTCTGAAAACAAAAATTGTGTTTGCTCATATATTAAACTAAAACACTAAAGCTGANAAAGGACAAGGACATCCCTCTGTTGGAGGGGCAAAGGAGTCTGGTGGGATTCTTTTTGGAGTATTGAAGATCGTTTCCCCGACATCGGCGGTGCCTGCTACAGGACAACATGGAACGTGTGCGATTTGGACGCGATGAGCGGGGGGGTTTTACTGGAGCACGCGCATGAGCTGCAAGCGCCAGAGCCTCGCAGCGGCGAAACTGAAGCTCCGTGGTAAACTGTGGTAACATGAAGAGCCGTTTGGGAGCCGAAACAGCCGGCGCTTTAAGAGAGCCGAGCCAAATGATCCGGCAAGTCAAGTCAAAGTCAAAATTCAACCTGGGCCCTACCATGCTTTTTGGAGAATTCCCTTTCCTTTAGTGTGTTATATAGGTTTTCGTGCATGTAAATGGTCTCCAAAGGTGTCCACACTCCCCCCAGCCTGAAACGGCTTGATTGGATTTTGTCCACTTCTGATACATAGTGACATCACTACGTAACCCTCGCCCTTCCAGGGACTAGCACCCCAGCACATTGTACGTGATAGGCTAAGGGGCGGGACATCTCTAAGCGGTTGTTAGGGTTAGAAAGCTTACTGAGTACAATGTAAAATCTACTAATAAAAGAATGACTGAATTTGCAGCGAGTTGCCGTGTTGATCACGTTTTTTATCGCAATTAACATTAAATGGAATTGATTTCTCCTCTTTTACTTTCTATCACTTCTGAATTGCTTACCGTTTTCTTGTTTTTTTAATATGTCTCTAGGTCTCCAATTATTTAAGACTTTATTTTATCTTTGCTTGACTTTAACTCAAAAGTTAGGTTACATATATACAGCATCATATTTACCTTTTTGTATTAATGAATAATAAGTATTAATTGTTTTAACCCTCTGACGTTTCTATATTCCTCCTTTCTTCCCCCTTTTTATATTCTCTTTTCTTCTCTTTCTTTCTTGCTTGCTTCAGGCCTTAAACAGCATTACACACTCAAATACACTTACTTGTACTCTTTACATAATATATCTTCTTTATATCGGCGTGTGTGTGAGAGTCAATTGTGTTTCTTACGGTCTAAATAACATTTTGAACCGTTCTTTGTCCTTACTCTGTGTGTACATTTATCACTGTTACTACACAATAATACTTCTATATATCCCGATATATTATCTGTAGGTCTAGCTTAAGGCAGTGACAGTACATTACGGTACAGTACTATGAACAGCTGTACTCTCCAGAGACCCTGAAGGCATCACGTTGCCTCAAGTAAATACAACAGTCATTCTCAGTTTGCCTGACTGATTTACATGCATCCTTGCCTACAGTATTTCTGTCTTTTCTTTCAAATATTCTTCCCTCTTTGATTCTTTCCCACATCATTCCTTACTTACAGTACATATTTCCTTGTCTTTGACTTCCCTTCAAAATACTCTGTTTGCATAAGTCCTCTAATATATACATAACAAATGTTTTATTTTCTTCTTTCCTTTCTTACTTCCTTTACTTATTTGTATTTCTTTCTACCCTTTGCTGTTGCTTCTATCCTTCCCTCATTTCACCTTTAAGCCTGCGTCTGGATCGATAAAGAGGAGGTGAGAAAGTAGTCGGCCTTTACACTCATAGCATTGTTGTGTGAGAAGAATCACTTTGGAGGATAGAAAGAAAACATAACTGAAAAGGATGTCTGTGTTTTGTGATTAAGCTTCTCTCAGAACCTTCATTCGGTGTCATTCTTTTGCCTTTTTGCCCTTCAGTCTATCGCTCTTTTTTCCATCTGTTCTCCCCCTCATTGAACTCAATCTCTTCTGCTCTTTATGCCAATAACGGAGTTTTCATAGTTGCTATGAGAGCTACCAGAGTGTATGACAGCTTCCGGGTTTGGGCGTTCTGGCTACGCATCACTCATTCACCAATGGGTAATGCTTAGATGGATTTTAGGAACTTCCCCTCGATTCTATTGGCTCTAACGCTTAAAAAGAGGTGTCAATCATCAAAATCGATCGAGGGGGGCCAGAGATATGGAAAAGGCACCCAAATGACCCCAGAAGTGGTTTTCTTTTTGCTAAATCTCTCTAAAAAGGTCAAATTTCACTTGTTTTGCATCAATCTTGATACAGGGTGCTTATTATATGTTATAGTTTGGATTCAATTGTGGTTTTCACTATAAGTAATGTTTTTTTTTGGACGGACACAATCATTTAATTTTTTTTACTATGTTCAATCTGAATTTACTTTAAAATAAAAAAAATCCGTAACTGATCGTTTATTTTTTTGACATCCAAAGCTCACAGTTTATCAGTTGCTTTGAGAAAAAAGATTATTATGTTACCCCTTTTAGAAGTGAAGTTATGGTCATTTGTTCTGGGAATGTTATTTTCGAGCCTGAGGCCTGAAAAACAGGCTCGGGGTTCAACAGCTGATGGATTGTTGGAGGCCGTGCCAAATTGATTTTAAAGTGTCAAAAAAATCCTTCTCAAGCCATTCTGTGTGTTTGATATAAACTAAGCTCGTTTTCCAATTTCAGTGGTTGCTGTGACCATCCTTTAATGGCATGTTGGCTGAGAATCCCTTAGTTATGTCCCAATGTGCTTACTGTAAGTACATCTATCTGAATAGCAAGCTGGATTGTTGGTGCTCTTTGTCACTATCACCCATGGAATAGTACATCTCAGGAATTGTACTGAGCTTTAATATGGTATCTTTAGATTATGGCACAGAGGAATGCAACATTAACTTTTGATTGGTTACATTTCTCATCAGATATTTCTTTTAAATCTCGCATAATTTAGAATAATTACTAATCTATTTTCTGAAGATGTGAATGTCCAATACAGGGCACGGATTCATATTTTGTAACTTTGGTGGCCTTCCTCTTAAATAAGTACCATTGTGTAAGCTCAAAGGAACAATTAAGTACAGACTCAAATTAAATTAATAAATGAAAAGGTTGATAGAGACATTTGTGCATGTTAGGGTATATTTGTTTCATTACAAATTTAATAAATTGGTGTATGCAATTAAAAATCATATGATGTACTTATTAAATTACCAAGGGTATGGCTAATGAATGAAAATCACGCTTAAGTATATCCAAGTACAGTGGTGGAGGTGCATACATTTATAGATATACGTCTACCTTTAGAGCCTTATACCCAAAGACAATAAATAAACAAGAAAGTGGGGGATTAAAGATTAAAACAAAAGTCTAGTGGAGGATTGCTACATATTGAATAGAAGCAGAACAAATGAAAATGAAATAAATCTCAAAACGTAATATAGGTCTATAAATACTCGGTTTGATAAAAGCAGAAGAAGGGAGAAGAGACAGTTAATTCCTCAGAGGTTCAGGTCTAACTGCATCGATGCAGTAAAGAGGAAGAAAGTCCAACAGTGGAATGAATAGCATTTTATATTTGTGCTGAATGGTATAGATTGTCTGGGCAGGGATGACTCTGAATTGTGTGTGTGTGAAATTACAGTAATTGTGCTTTTGTGAACGGCCAGAGTCTTTCATTTTGGGAAAGTGGGACAAAGTCCCACCTGCCGGTAGCAGAAAAAAGTGTGATTTGAGTGGTATTAAGAAACCTAGAAGTATGTATATAATTCTGCATTAATACATGCTGTTAGTGTTTGCTGTTGTTATTTAACATTATCACCCAATTAAGGGTCAGTTGCCAAAAAGGAATAGTTTGAATATACTGATTTAATTGTATTTGGCTTGCAAGGCTGCTATGTGTGGATAGCTCAGTGTTTGTAACGTCAAGTGCACAGAGCATGGAAAAAAACAGTAAGTAGGCCCGAAGCAATTGGCAAATAACTGTTGCTGTCATTTGACAGAAGCTTGCAGCAGTTAGAATTGATTTTAAAGATAGGGACTGTGGTCACAGAACTAACTACTAGCTTATAGACACTCTTTTGCCTCCAGTGTGTTATTCAAAAGCGGTACCTGGTCAAGACAAGGCTTTCATGCAGACCGCACAAACAAACAGTGAATTAAGAAGTAGAACAGCAAGTTGAGGAAAACATGTTTGTGCCCAGTCAGATTATTACCTGTGTTGAACTTTAGTCAATATCAAATGGTTTTGCATCTTTGGAATGTAGTTTTTGCCCCACCATTTTTTCCACCTAAAATGGCTATGTACAATATTATCTTTTGAAAACATCTGAACATGTGATTATGGCTCTTTGTGTGAACACTATACTGCATGTTTGTTCTCTTACCTCCACCAGATGTGGCGTGGGGTTGAAGCCACACAGGTTGCACACTTGGCTGTGACACACTGTACAGGAGTTGTAGTTGGGCGGGTCGGAGCTGCCGATGTTCAGCTCCGTTTTACAAAGAGGACAGTTCACTTTTGGCTTCTCAGGCTCTGGAGCAGTCTTGGGTGCCACCACGGGCGCCTGCTTCTGCAGCGCTTTCTCCAGATGAGCAGGTGTTTGCTGATGCTGTTGTCCTTGCGGCCCTTTTTGATGGTGTGCGGGCGACTGCTGTTGGGGCATTCCATGTTGATGCGACGTGGTCTGCTGCTTCTGAGATGGTGCTTGCGGTCCACCCATCCTAGGACCCCCCATTTGGCTGGGTGCATGGGGGCCACTCATTTGACCTGACGCATGAGGGCCACCTATTTGACCCGGTGCATGAGGGCCACCCATATGACTGGGGGCATGAGGGCCACCCATTTGAGTGGGCGCATTAAGGCCACCCATTTGAGTGGGGGCATGAGGGCCACCCATTTGACTCGGCACATGAGGGCCACCCATTTGACTCGGCGCATGAGGGCCCCCCATACTGAATGGTTTGGTGGCAGGGGTTCCTTGCTGTTGCTTGTTGTCAGCAGTCGTATTACTGAACACCACCTTGCCCCGTGCAGGGCTTGGCTGGGTGGAAGCGCCGGCTAGCGGGTCAACATTGATCAGGGTACTGGCCTGATTGAGCAGCGATGCCCCAAAGCCAAAAAGTTTGGTCAGGCCGTCCTGGGCAGGAGGAGGGGCCTGACTCTGAGGTCTGTGGGCTGGGGATGAACCAGCGCTCCTGGTCTGGTCATGGTGACGCGCTACAGACTGGTGCATCGGAGAACCGTGACCCAAATCGGGCTGTGACGGTGCCTTGGTCATGCCAGGGAGAGGCACAGCTCCAGGATGGGGAATCCTTGGACCCCCAGGCTGGTTAAGGCCTCCTGTGAGACCTCCAGCAGCTCCTGGAGCTCCAGGGCCTCTCTGGGAGTACTGGTCGGACTTCATGCCCTGCTGAAAGGACCCAGTCTCGGTCTGTTGGCCGCCAGGGTTTGGTTGTCTCTGCAATCCTGGGGAAGTATGAGGCTGATTTTGGGGTCCTGGCTTGGATGCAGGGTACAACTGGGGCTGAGACTGGGGATACTGCTGGGGCTGGGAGTATGGCTGAGATTGGGAGTATGGCTGGGACTGGGCCTGGGAGTAGGGCTGGGACTGGGGCTGGGAGTAGGACTGGGAGTATGGCTGGGAGTAGGGCTGGGACTGGGGCTGGGAGAATGGCTGAGACTGGGGCTGGGACTGGGAGTATGGCTGAGACTGGGCGTATGGCTGAGACTGGGATTGGGAGTAGGGTTGATTTTGGCTGTAAGGCTGAGACTGGGAGTAGGGTTGAGTCTGGCCGTAGGGCTGAGACTGAGGCTGCTGTTGGGGCTGTTGCGGCTGCTGCTGCTGCCGCTGGGTGGGCTGACTCTGTGCCAAAGGTTTGGGCTGTGCTGCTGCTGCCGGTTTTATTGGCTGAGGTGTGGGCTGCTGAGGCTGGACGATGGGCTTGGCTTGGTGGGATGGGGAGTGAATCTGCTGTTGGCTCTTAGAGCGAGGCGTGGTCATATCAATGCCAAGAGCTCTCTGCATCTGACAATTCAGACACAGCCACTCCTGGACCTGCAGACAGAGAGCAAAAAAGGTTTCATGTTATTAAAACTTTTCCTCAAATCTAATCACACTCATATTTTCTGTATCAGGTTGTGCCGACTCTTCATTGAAGCTGATTATCTATACTGAGTGAAGTATTTTAAAGCTGTTTATACAACAGTACCAATCCATCATAATGGAAGTATTCTTGGCCTGTTTTGCATCAGCTTATACATAGTTCCCCAATGTCAGCGTGTCATATTTGGGATTTTCGGGATCTCCAATATCATTTTAAACAAGGTTCTGCTTGGCTTACTGGGTCATTGAGGTTTAAGAGGTTGTAGCTACCAATTGTTGTACAAGTTAAAGCAAATGGAGCAAAGAGAAGGAGGGAAAGATAATGTATGGAGACAGAGCAAACTATTTATGTAACACATCCGTATGATTAATTGCTGTAGATTACTTTAAATAGCATCACTGACTCAGACTGGGTGCACAGGAGTCTCATCCAATCCACATGAACACAGTATTCATTCAGCCAACTTCAAAGCTGAAGATATTAGACCGAGTACATTTGGATGGCTACACATAGAATATGGTCAAGTCTTGTGGAAAACATAAGTGCAGAGAGAGCAGTTTTAATCAACCAGAAATAGAGCGAGAGAAAGGTAAATCAACCACAAATTGACTGCAGCGCTGAGTGATTGCTGAGCCGAAGCGCAACCGAAAAAGCATCACATCTCTCGCCAACACACATATAAATCCAAAGAGGGATGCATATCAAGTGACATAAGCAACACACAAACAGATATAATAAGAGACACTCGCAGTCAAATGACATGAACGCATCTAAAAATAAAAATAAAAAGCATCACCCCTCCTCCTCATCCTTTTCTCCATGTCTCTCTCCTTCCTTCTCTTCTTCCTCCAGATGAGAGCTGATACTCCCTTGTGTCCGGACCTTGTTTGGCTCTCTAATTTCTCCCGACTGCAAACACACACAGCTCCTCTCTGAGTCAACCTGATCTCGTTCTGTCTGTCCTACTGTAGCTTTGCATCTGCCACAGCTGCCATAAATCGCGCTATCTTAGCTCCTCTGCAGCCAGACCAAAGCTAGTAAATCTGTGCACGTTTCAAGCGTTTCTCCCATCCCCTTTGCTTCCCACAATGCAATGCGCAGATGTACTGTATCACCCCGTCTGTATCCACTGAACCCCCTACCCCCTCCCTCCTCTTGATTTTTTTTCCTGAGGACAAGTTGGCTTCTTGAATTTGAAGGGAAGAAAAAACTGTCTGCCTCAGTCACGTACCCTAACTACTGTAAGCACTTCCTCCCACTGTGCTGTCCCAGCCTGCTTTGCAGTCTGGCATTGTCTAGCTTGACGGCATTACTGATCCCATGTTCTGTTAACTCAGCGACTACAGCCTATGCTACAACCTGACATCCCCCTTAACATATTCTCTTTGTAGCTGTCTTTCCTCTCCTCTCAGCTTCTGTTCTCCCTGTTTTCCGTCTTTACCCCCATTTTTCAGTTCTCTCTCTGATCAGCTTGAAAATGTAGGTCTCGTTCCTTGAATAGCTAAGGCGGAAGGAGATTTGAAAGTATAATTTTTGCTGTGCAGGCTCCACCCAACTTGTGCTGCCATAATTACATCTGATGAAGATGGCGAGAGGGAGATGGAGAGATAGGGAGGAAGAGAAGGGGGCTGATTTTAATGAGTCCCTGTCTATCCCTCTTTTTCACAAGCAACATCACAAGAGACCCTTGAATGAATGAAGGATGAACCAAATGATGGAGGGATGGGAAAGAGCAAGGAGAAAATGGGGAGGGAGCGAACATGGAGGGAGAGGAGTCAGCAGTTTTTTAATCCAAGCAGCTCTTCTGCTCTCATCATGTCAAGCTTAATCAACAGCACAGCGGCGCAGAAAAACCACTTCTGCTTCAATGTGGATAAAACCAGTGAATCCTTTACACACCTGAGTCCTGTGTTCATAATTAGGCATACTGAATTGAGTCATCAGCAGGAAAGCATATATCTAAACATAGATGAATAAAACCAAAACCTATCTGCATGGCTGTGGCTTGTGTGCCCCATCTGCTTGTACTGTAATACTTACGAGTGCATCTAATTGACATCGCACCATCTCCTTCTCTATTAAATCCGAAGTTTGTAGCATAAACTACAGTACGATTATTCTCAGTTCTTAGCCAAAGCTTGATTTTAGAAGAATAGTATGGCTTGTGCATTTTTGGCGTACTGCATTTAGCCGTAGGCAAACGTCTAGGCAACATTTTTTTTTAAACATCCTCTTCCAACAATAAGCCATATCAATGTGATGCAAACCTTTACTCTGTTTTTATTAAGGTATTTCTCACTTGTCCTTTTACCAAGGAGTTGTAAATAATGAGCTTGGTGATGGACTATTACATATTTCTTTTGTCTATGCTATCATTAGCTAGCTAAAGTATTTAACTTTAACTGCCTTTATGGATGCAGTCATGGGACCCAGGATTTCTGTTTGCAGATGGAGCGCATTATTAATCACATAATAAAACACAAGCCTGCAGCCTGAGAAAAGATACGAACAGAAGACATTGAACCAGGTTTATGAACGATCACCTTCCTCCGACTACATCAAGACTCATGTTGAAACCGCAGCTCAGACAGAGACTTAAGACTGACTAAGGGATAGCTGTGAGGTCTATAATGTACCTCTTAGCATTATAGTGCAGGTGTCCCTTTAAGTTATAGCCCATTTACTACTTCCTGTGTACGGTTCACAAAGCAGTCATTTTGCATATGGTGTGGACGCCAGCTGAGGCCATTTTCAAGCCTGTGGAAGTTATTACACGAATAAGTGGCTGCGAATGTCTTTCCTGAAAGGAGGAAAATTAGCCCTGGCAATCTCAAATGATGCTGATTTTGCACTCTCTTACTCTACACTAAATAGAAAAAAGGTTGATAATTTTCCTTTTCTTATTTGAGCCTATTCATGCCTATGTTTGAAGTATAGTTTAATGACTATGGTTCCTTAAAAAGTTTATAGAAAATGTGTCTCATTACATGTCACAACTGCAATTTCTTACTTTAATAATAAAAAAAGAATTGTCAGTTAATTAACACCCCATTAAATTTACTTGTGTTATATATAACTTAACTAGCATCCTTTAATATTTCAATAGAGAACCTTGACTAACTTTTTTTTTAAAAGACAGCATCATAAAGCTGATAACAAATATGCTTTTGAGATCGGACAAGCACAACAAAATATTAACGGTATTGCATATACAGGGGAATAGTTTAAGTAGTGTGCATCAAAAAAAGTAGAGGTCCATCTGAATTTAATTTACAAACTCAAATTTCTTGAATAAGGTGAGATAATGTAATCTTACAATAATTGAACAGTGGAAGAGAGTAATGGTTATGGTTAAAAAACGAATGTTGCATGTTAGTTGGAGCCAGGATTGAGCATTGTTGACACACACTTCCTATATATGTTCTAATGATATACAATTTCATTATTCTATTCCATGTTTTTATCATCAGCAGTAAGTACTTTTGTTTAAAAAGCTGTGCCTATAGAGTCCAAATACAAAGGGTCAAACAGTAGAGTTAAAGCAGCAAAATACAAATTACTTAAATACATTTGTAAAGGCCCATTTGAACATTATAGGGGATGTAGATCCCTTATGTAACAAGGAAGCATGTGGAATTGCATTGATGGCCGTTTCCAGTTATCTTCTTGTAAAATGTATGGTATTAAATTCAACTTGCATAAGTACAAATACGTAAATGAATGCACACTCACACTGCTGCACACACACTTTAGAGATCATTGCTGTTGCCTCTCATCCCCAGCTTATCTTAAGTATCTCAGCTCTCCTCAAACCTGCAGGACTGATTTCTTCGAACACACACACACACACCACACACCACACACACACACACACACCACACACAACACACACACACACACACACACACAAACACACACACCCACACACACCACACACAACACACACACACACACACACACACACACACACACACACCACACACAACACACCACACACACACCACACACACACACACACACCCACACACACACCACACACACACACACACACACAACAACACACACACACACACACACACACACACACACACACACACACACACACCACACACCACACACACACACACACACACGTTCTGAGATTACTCTTGTAACTAGGGATGCACCGAAGATCCGGCCGCCGAAAATGTTGGCCAGCCGCGACCATGCTCGGCGGCTGGCTCACAGCCAACTGTTGCGCTTGGAGATAATTTAAAAAATATCATAGAAGAGGCGCGGATTGCGATTTGTAAAAGTGTTCAGCTGACATTTCTCGAGGGGTTACGCAAGACTTCACCACTTCGGGATTACTCCACCAGTTGAAATCAAAACACCCGGACAAATATTAGACCTCCAAAAAACGAATTCTGCGATCGCNATTACTCCTATTATTTTCACTATTCGGATAAAATTAAAAAACTAATATAACACTTACTTTGCTTGGAAAATAGTTGCAAGCAAGCAACCGAATTGTTTTTTTATATTAGTTTTTTAATTTTATCCGAATAGTGAAAATAATAGGAGTAATGTGGGAACATCTGGGGCTAAGGCAATTATTGGCATACAGTTGAGTAGCTCAGCCTAATAATAACTTGTGTCCATAGGTGCATCACCACGCATCCCAGCCATCAACATCCTCAACAATACAGCAGACCCTACAGTTACCCTACAGAGGACACATTTAGTTTTAATGTTTGCGAGTACTGAGACATATAAATCGTAATAGTATGCTCTTTCTGCGCTTCTGCTTAACAGCGTGTTGTCAGGTGTCTCGGATTCGGAGCGTGTTATGAAACCTTTTTGAAAAAAAAATGTTATAAAAAAATAATACAAATCTCTCCGCACCGAATATTCGCTGATGATTACTACCGAATATCCGGAGCCCGGAAAATGGTATTCGGGACAGCCGTACTGGGTTGCAGCACCTCTTTTCAGCATCTATCTGAAACCAGAGCCTGATCTGATCTGATTGGTTAGCTGACCGGCTCTGTTGTCATACATGGAAGGGAAAAACCCCAAAAGCAGAATAGGGGCTCTTTAATTCAACTTTGGTCAGGACTGAGCGACCCACCTGCTGCTCTCCGGTCGATTTCAACACAGATTTTTCTTTCAGAATATAGCAAAAATAGGGGGAAAGGAAGGTGGTGTTTCCTGAATCCGCTGTCACATTTTCAGTTTGGGAACCTGGTTTAATTATAATGTAATTGCAAAACGGACAGTATTATAAACATTATGCAATCTCCCACTGGTCAAATTAACAATAGTCCCGCTTTAATGCTTGAACACAGAAGCCCTAATTCTGACGTTTAGGTCATTAGTCTATTTACAGAGAGCTGGCACTGCGCTTCCACTTGTCATGTGGAACCAATATTTTATTAAAGCTGAACTAGGGAGGCTAATTGGGACGAACCTGCCCTAAGGGGGGGGGGGGGAGCATCTGTAACACTGGGCCTCTGTTAGAGAAACCTACCAGTCATTTATAGCTAATACAGCCATGTCATTGCAGAACTTTAATTGGTAAAATGTAAACTTTTAGAATAGGGTTCAAAGTTATCCTCACAGATTCTTCACAGCCTTCTTAGTTTCTGAATGAGTTTTTGTGAAAGCTGTTTGGTTTCGTTAGGACAGCCAACATAATGTCTGCTGAGAATCCACTGATGTTTGCTCACTGGGCACACGTGTGCCTGCATTATAGTTGCAAAGCTGTCCTTTTCTGCTCCTCCCAACATGACCCCTCAAACTTAAACAGGTTATGCTAAAACATCTCGGTTTAAGAAGTTTTACATTTAGCAAAAGTTATCATTTTCAAAGCAAAAACACATTTGTGTGTGCGTAGCCGTGGACAGTCAATTTCCACTTTTAAGTAAAATCACTCCTGATGCATCTGTGTCCCATCTGTTTGAAATTGGCTTCCCAAGTGATATAATTTGAAGGATAGAAACATATCTTGAAAAGTTGTTCATACATTTTTAAAGATTATAAGCAAATAATGACGCCTATTAGTCTTACTCCAAAATGCTCTTATCTTAAAGGTCCCATGTCATGCTTTTCCGGTTATTACCCATCCCCATGTGTGTTATGAAGGTTTTTCTGCATGTAAACGGTCTGCAGATTCACAAACCCTCAAAGTACACCCTGTAGCGAGTAAAACTCTAACACAGAAAACACCTGTCTATGCTGCCCCAGAATATCTTTGGTGGGGCTATGGAAATGGTGACTAAACCATACTAGGGGGTTCCGGGGGGATGCAAATGGACCAATCCGTGGAGCCGCTACGTCCGCGGAACCGATAGGTTATCTTTTCTCAGCTGCAGCTCCGCCGATTTCTCTTCCCTGAGTCGGCGGGATGCGGCGAGGCTGTGAGCGGCGAGTGTGTGAGCACACACACAAACTCCCAACCAGGCTGCGGGTGTGTGTGTGTTTCGGGCTGTGTCTCGCTGGCTCGCAGACGGCCACTGGGCTCACAGGGAGGGGGGGGGGCCGGAGCTCCAACAAGCCGTTTAGGACAGAGAGTGAATACACATACTATACAGAGATGCTGTATGAAAACCAATGTGATTTTAGAAAATTGCACAATATAAATCTATTCTAGCAGACCTCAACAATGGAATTATGATCAGTAGAAATGGCCATGACATGGGACCTTTAAAGCTGCACGTATCAGTATTTTTATGTTAACAATAGATAAAAGTGCGAGTAAGAGGTGAGGCTTGATTGACAAACCCACTGTAAAACACAAACAGCAAACACTATCATACAGCAGCCAAACACACAGATATTATTCTATAAGTTGCTGGATAGCTGTACAAAGCTTAAGGGAGTTATATTGGACTTATATTTGTTGGCTGGACAGAAACACGCTACAAACCAATGCAAATATTTCTTATTTCACTGACTTTGCTAACATGTTTAGCATAATCATTTTCAAGGTCGCTATGGTAAATGTTTCAGGACGGGCATCATTTGGAAACAATTACTAATAATAAAAATGTTCTCGCAACTAATATTTCCCCCTCCGATTTGGATATTGCACTTGGCAAAATGTTGGTTTAGATACATTTCGATTAATTGTGCAGCCATAGTTCAAGTTTACCATTAAATCCCTCACATCTGTTTACGTCTTTTTAATGGCTGGTGCATCTGCAGCCTGCATGTGAGTGCGCTCTCTGTTAGGCTCAACTTTCCTCTGCACTTCCTGCTGTTTGTTAAGTTGAGTTTGCATTAACACTATCCTACCAATAGAGCAAAGCTAACAGGAGAAGCAGATGCCCCCCCCCCCTCTCAGTTTAGATAACCTCCCCTCTTCTCATGACTGAGGAGAAGGAGCTTCATACAGCTGTGCTATTTCATCATGAAACAGCTTTGTGTGGACGTGTGTGCGTGCTTGACCTCTGACTCCAAACAGTCCGATATACGTTTGAGTTTGTGGGGAGGCAGTAGAATACACAGAGATACAGTGTGTATTTAACTCTCACTGGGACAGAATATCACCCATAACTGACCAAACACACGGGCACACTGAGGAGTTAAGAAGGTAAACCAGGGTTGGATCCACGCTGCTATGGGCTGATGGAATACACAGATGTTATGAATGGATGTTCTCCCCCAGCAGGTGGCTGACTTAGAAGAAGATAAATGGAGAATCCATAGAATGGAAAGAAAAATGTAGCAAGTGCACTGGCAACATTTAAAAGTTTGTTCCCTGGAAATGATCAGCAAAGATCTATGTAAAAACCTTCCAAAGAGAAGCTTCTCATGGATGTTAAGGAAACCTCTGGAGCAACGACTCGAAACACAAGGAGAACACGGGAGAGCTCGACTTGATGGCAGACACCGAAGATTTATTGAAAGTTATGCCGGGAGAATTGACCAAGACATGTGCTGCAGCCACAAGGCTCCTGCCTCACCAATTCTGAAGCTCTCTCACCAAATCTCAAGTATTTATCTAGCTCGAGACAAAAATATTCTCAAGGGAAGAGAGAAATTGGCTCCCCAAGGTCGCATGCCCGAACGCTGACGACAGGAGAGAGTGATAAACTGGGTCAAAGGCAGAGGCCTTGGTAAATGTTTTCCCCAACAATGGACACAACTGACTGTAGCCTTATAAATAACCAACCTGATGAACCATTAAAAAACGCAAATTAATTACATTACCAAGTTTGTCCCAAAGATGCTCCTGTAACACCAACATGGATGTATACCATGAATTACATGGCTATTAGCGAATTAGGCAGCCTGAGCTACATATTTTGCACTGAGTGGAGACATCTGGACATCAGTAGGAACCATCACTACCTCACTGTAATGGCACACCTGCATAGTTTGCTCTAGGTGTGGTGAAACAGAGGGAAGGCATTTTGCTGAACCAGTTTGTTGAAGTTACACCGGAGTGGGAAATAGTGGACAGGGTCTCCACTGTAGGAACAGATAGAGCTTCAGTCTGAGAGCAGGGATAATATGCTGTGTGTCACATTACACAGAGGGAGGGCCACAGCTGCTTTGGCGACGCCTTAGCTAAGTGTCTGAAAAACAGCGCGATTCTTGGCAATAATTTTAAATAATTTTATAATAAAGTCAAAAACCCTCTGTTTTCTCTCACCATTTCTTTTATCACAACACCACCATGTCTTTGTTTTATCTCCGCCAAAATACTAATACTAGTATTTAATTTATTACAGATTATTATTGTCAATAACGGAATTATATATTTGTAATCAATAAACCCTAATTTAAGCATATTCAAACTTTTAATCTGATACATTTCATCCACAATATAGTAACCTAAACATGTAGAGCTGTCTGCCCATACTTGATAAGAGATAAGGCAGGGCTGTCTGACTTTGTATCTCCTTGATCTCTCATACCAGAGACAGTGACAATGCGAAAGGTTTCGACTAGGATCTCTGAGGCCATCGACTTATCTTTGGATAAAGAAGTTCACTGCATGCCCTTTTCAAGACAAATGCATGGGAAAAGATTGTGGCTTACAATGCGACTGCATATTGTATTCTCTTTTCCTTGCCCAAGCCTTTTAATGAAACCTCAAGTGTTGTAAGGCATCACCTCCAGTATAGCATCTTCAGTCAATGCTCCAGAAGAATTTCCTTCACAACTTTAAAATACTTAAAAACCTAAATAATGTAAAAACGGTAGTTCTAAATGAAGCGGGATTCTGATGTCTCTTCCTCGTTAATATTTGTCTTGTAAATGTTTGGTAAGCTACTCTGGTCACATCGGGTCGGGGTGGAATCAGATTTTCAAAGGCTGTGTGATGGTGTATCTGAGGTCTTTCTAGGACAAGCAGCTGCCCTTTCCTCCAACCAAACACTCCTCCAAGGCCTTTCATGAGACACGAGCCAGATGCTCAGCCGTTAATCACAGTATTGTGTGTGAGAGTGTGAGACTGTGTGTGTTTGGGGAGACTGCGCTCTTTGCCAAGTAAATGTTTACTGTGTGTTTGTGTGACTACTGCATCCCTAACACCAGAATGGGTGCAGACAATGGAAAGTTGGCACAGAAAGCAGAGTAAAAGGAAGATTTATATGTCAGTGGAAGAAAACGTTTTTAGAGAGTACTTGTCCATGGACAAGTGAATTTGACAATTTACTTGTCCGAATACATTTTTCACTTGTCCAATCTGGACATGCCTGTTTTTCTTTTTCTAAAATTATTTTACATGCCGCTTTTCAGGCCCATCAGTACATACAGTAAATGGTAGGGTCCCCTTTCAAGCCCTTAATCCACTGTTTTCTGACAAAATGTATTTCAATTTGTTTCCTTGTTAGCTGAACACACCATTTCCCCATCAACATTTTTAAATTGTATTTAAAGAAAAAGCCCTAACAAAACAGCAGGGCTCTATTTCAGTATTAACTAAAGAAAGAAAAACAGCAACAGCTGAGCCTACAGATAATCATAAATAAATAACAGTGAATATAAATATATTGCAATGCTCAAAACAGCAGCATCCAACCGTCTCTAATCCTTGGATATTACATGTCACTGCATGCATGCACGGAGCACCCGTAGCGCGGAGATCATCATATCATTCTGTCTTGTATTACTTAACCAAAACAAAAAAACGGCTTGTTCGCGGGCGTTCACTTAAAAGAGCCGGCTCTTTGAAGGAAACGTAAAGCGGTCGCAAACAACAATGGCGGACACGGACAATTTGCAAATGAGTCCTGCCTTTTGTAAGCTGAATTTATAAATAAGTTGTGAATAAATATGGGCGAAAAACGTCACTTGCCCGTCGGACACGTCAATGGAAAGATGTACCTGTCCGATATTGTAAATAACACGTCCCGGACAATCGGACGTGTGCTTTTTCGCTCACTGTATGTTAAGGAAGTGTTTAGTGAAAGGGAAGGAGGAAGAGAATGGGGATGTGAGGGAGAGAGGGAGCAGGAGAGGAAACTTTGTATTCCCTCCATCTGAGAGCTTTGCGAGCCGGCACACGAGCCCCTGACCTTCTCCCTCACACACACACAATGGTTCTGCTGTATGTTCTCTGCTGCAGCTCCAGGCCCTGTGTGTGTGTGAGTGTGTGCATGAGATTTTGCATGTTTTATTGTGTGCCTGCTTGTTATTGAGCTTATTCATGCATGCACATAACATGTGGCCAGCAGGCTGCCTTCATCTTCTCATCTAAAAATGTTTCATTGCTCTGCCATAAAATTGACAAATAAATAGATTCATGATCTTTTTATGTATTGTAACATTTGTGTGTTTGTCCTCAGGGGAATCTGGTCTGGGGAAGTCGACACTTATCAACTCTCTGTTCCTGACTGACCTGTACTCCAAGGATTACCCGGGGCCCTCGCAGCGCATCAAGAAGACTGTGCAGGTGATTATTTCTCTTTAAGGACCTTCACATCGGGCGTCTCACCTGATTTTCAGGTTAGGCTTCATCACGATACAGATAAGGCTGTAAGAAGGTCAAATGCTCCGATATTTCACCACACACAGACATCCTCATAATAAACTTCTAAACAATGGCTGAAACAATATACTGTTGATATGAAGGACCCAGTTCAGGCGGATTAAGTAATGCAGTTATTGATGCACTGTGATGACCTCACAGAAAATAAACAATGTCATTTCTGCAGCACAGATTCAATGCCTAGTCCGTTGTTTGCAACACTTGCACATGGACAGTTGTTATTTGTTTCATGTATTGTATAATGTGTAAATGTATATGTTCTCCATGCAGTAGAAGGGACCTATATAAAGTGGTTCAGGAATGAGTCCTTAACCCGAAAAGGAGTTAGCATTTTACAGAATAAGTTTCCCTCCTCCCGAAGTCAACTTCTTATTGGTTAGGGGCCTGAATACGGTCTGTGGTTAACACAAGCTGAAGAAATGATAACGTTTTGTTCAAATACGTCATTAAAAACTCTACACGTTAAAGTTCTGAACTTCTATGCTATCTAAAAACAGCGGTTGCTAACAAATGTGAACATTTAGCCACCTTTAGCTTAGCAGTGGTGACGTGACGTCATGTGACTGTAATGTTTATTTATAACCAAACTTTTTTTTTTACTTTTTACTTCTTCAGATTGCATTTATGCTTAAAAAATCATAAAGTGGTGTTAATATGTGGAGATTATCCTTCCAAAGAAAACTTGTAGATGTCTTTGCCGTGTATTTACCACCAATCTTATTTTCTGCAATATACTCAAATCCAATGGGAAATTCCATTGTCTTTTGACGAGAGAGCCCTTTTAATGCTAACTTCTGGGTCATCACTGCACCACTCTTCAAAAATAGTATACCCAACCTTCCCTGCCTAACCACAGCCATGACAATGATCTGTCATGAGATATCTATGAACATTTAGGAAACATGCATTTCTGGATATAACATGTCTGTTACCTGACTCTTCAGACGCCACCTTTGTCTGAACGACACGTTCACCTGACCTGACCCACAACCTTTGTTATCTCGCCTCATGCAAAGACGGGCTGACCTCTCCATAACATGTCCCACATTCCTGCTGCTCTCACAAACATATACACAAGTGTTTGGAATCACATCATGTGGAAGATGTAGCCCGCTGGTCAGTGTAGTAATGAGATACTCAAAACTTAAGTGTGGGAGAGAAACTCCGTCCTTAAGGAACACAGGGATTTTTAGCCCAATGGACACCATGTACATGCACAAAAACCTATAGAACACACTAAAAGAAAGGGAAAACCCCCCAAAACAGGGGCCTCTTTAAAGGTAAGTTGACCAATAGAGAAGAAAGAAGGTTTAACGCGGGTAGAACCAGTCTAATAATGTACACTATAAAGTGTATACAAATTAATATTAGGCTTCGTAGCAACATTGGTTGGAACAGAGGTTAAAGCACATATAGATGAATTAATATAGGAAGCAAGTCATGGAGTCTTCTAGAGAGGAAGAAGAGGTAGGGGTTGAATATCATAGGAAAAGCAGGGCAAGAATAAGGATGGAGGATCTAAGAGGGAGACAGCAAGGCCACAGGGCCTGGTTTTAACCTTGTATGGTCATGACAAAATAAGAAGGGGTCAGACTACATCTGGAGCAGCGGGGAGCAGAGAGGAAAGAAACGGTCTGTAAAAAGGGAGAAGGGTTGTGAAGGGGAAAGAAGGAAATAGAGGGTTGGACATGAGCAATGCTGCCATGAGGAAGAGGAGGGATGCAGGAGGAGATGGACAGAGAAGCAGTGAGAGAGTCTGAGGACTTAATGAGAGGTGACCAAGGAGACTCAAAGAAAAAGAGTCATTGCATTCTCCCTGGGGCCTGATGGGGTTAGTAGCAGGGCAAGAATGTTCCCATGAAACTCAACACACGGACATAGCTAAACGGTTGAAAAAACATAATCTTCTCTTTAGTTGGTTCATAACTGCACTTTTGTCAAATGTTTTTGTAGAAGGACTTGTGGTGTTTGCAAAACAAGCATCACCCACACACATCCACAACACACTCCTTGAAGTCAACTCTTTAATTTGCTGTGGTTAGGCGAAAGTGTTTCTGTTTAGGAAGAGGAGTGATACAATCCAGCTGAGAATCCACAGATACATTGTGATATCAATTGTTGTTCCATCTAAATCAGTGGTTCTGCACCACTATATAGTAGTACGCTTTTAAGAGGGTCTTCAGATATACTTCTACTGAAAAATGTATAAAGTGAGTCAATGTACTATACAGTTTCTTAAAACATGATTTCCTGTCATGTATTTTTCTATTGCTGTTAGCACCACAAGCTAAATTCCAATTCACCTTCAGTGTAATGAAGTGCCAAATCACCAGCTATTAAGCAAAATTATCGACACGGTTAGACACCAGAAGATCTTTGCTTCATTCAAAAAAACTCTAAATTGAATGGTATGACTGTCCTTGTGCACTGTGTCCTGATGGATTTCAGAACTGGTCAGGTGATGTGGCTGATGCTTCAGTTTCAGCATGGGGCGAGATTGTTTTTGCGAGACTGAAAACATTTAGAACATTTTGCTCCCATCGGTTGGTCAAAAGAATCTCCGACCTCCTGTGAACCTCATGAGCGCTACGTGGGCATCCATGGTGTAAGTCGAAGTCAGTGTGTGAGTGTTTGTTAGGGGTGCTGTGGTCCAGGGGCCGAGGGGGGTCGACGGGTCAGAGTATTTATATTCCAGAACAATCTCTCATTCTTTGTCGCTTACTCGAGTTCCCCCTGATCGGATTTCTTTTTAAATGATGGTGTTGAGACTGATGGCATTTTTGTGGTTTCCTCCAAATCTGTTTTTCTTCGGAGAAACGCTGGAAATAGTAGATTTGGTTTTGAGATGGCTGACATGACATGCACAGACACTTACAGTACAAACACACACTTTAACACGCTGGGTGCACAATTAAGCTCAGTATGTCAAGCGGCTGCGGTGCATGTTTTTATATATATATATATATATATATATATATATAATGTGCTCAGTTGTAAAGCAGACAGATTCTCTGAAGGCTTGTGAAAGCTGGATTCTGTTGTTTTAGAGAAAGAGGGCTGTAGTTTGATTTAAAGAGCCGGTCCTAAAATAACTAGATGGCCTTGTGAAAGTATGCGGTGAGGCGAGGGAGCAGCAAACAGGCTGCAGGAAATGATGGATCTGTTGAGCTGATGTGGAGACATGTGACCAGTGTTTCCGCCAGACCAGGGCTGAGAGGGCGTCCACCCTTATAGATACTGTCTTTTTACGTTAGTGAGCCGTATCATTTGGGTCGGCTCTCTTAAAGCGCCGGCTGTTTCGGCTCCCAAACGGCTCTTCATGTTACCACAGTTTACCACGGATACCGGTGCGAGGCTCTGGTGCTCGCAGCTAATGCGCGTGCTCCACTAGCACCGCTAATCGCGTCCAAATCGCGCATGTTCGTGTTGTCCTGTAGCAGGCACCGCCGATGTCGGGGAAACAATCTTCAATACTCCAAAAAGAATCCCACCAGACTCCTTTGCCCCTCCAACAGCGGGATGTCCTTGTCCTTTTTCCTTTTCGTTATTTCAATCGATAAAAACTCTCGATCTTCTCTCGAATTATTAATATCTTTGGACGGCAAGAGGCCATGACGGCAAAACGCCCCCCTGGCGGAAACGCTGCATGTGACTGAAGTGTGAGGTGGAATGGTTGCTTTTTGTGTTTCAGGCTAAAGCAACAAGCAGAAATAAATCAGGCTGTTTTGGTATTTTAACAATAATATGTTGGATCTTAAATCACTCTAGCAATGTGTGCTTCTTAAAGTATACTGAGGCACTACAGCGGGAACAGTTTTACCTTTTTATTTGATGCCTAATATAAAGAATATTGGTTAGCGGAAATCTTCCTTGACTATATAGAGATGGTTGCAGATTTAAGGCCATTTCCCACAACCTAAATATTGACATTATGGTCACAATTTCAAAATGTATTATCAATTTTAGTTTTATGCATTTTCCTAGACACACATTTCCTTTTTATGAAGTCATACCCACAGGCGACTATGAGGTAATGCGGTATCTTTCAGTCACAAGGTTGTGGGTTTGTTCACAGGCAAGTTGGCCAACGGTGTGTGAATGTTAGCTTCATTGAACATTGCAACGCTGCCTCTGTATGAATGGATGAATGTCGACTGGTAAATGTAAACACCTGTAAATAGGTGGATAAAGTGCTATATAAATGCAGTCCATTTACCTTTTACAGTCTGACTTATATTTAGTATCTTCTTATCTTTCAACTGAATTTATATTTTCTGGGTTTAATAATGTGCTTCAAGAGATCAATTGCTGATGTTTCATCAACCATCTATCTACCGTCTACAATAAATACATCTCTGCCATCTCAGTCTTTTATTCATATCCAAAACAAAGTGTCCTTTTACCCAGCATCTTCAAAATAAATGACAGTAACTCCACTCGTATGCCCTGGCATTCTACCAGGCGAAGGTACAAAGTACATGTCTCTTTCAGTTGGGCTTTTTCCACATACAAAGATCACTACAACCGTCCAAAAAATGTAATTGTCAAACCTTCTTTAAATTATTAACGAGAAGAGGTGGACTGCATACTCTGCCTGGTAAAGTGAGCATCATAAGTATACAAATAATGGTTGAATAGATCCCATTCAAATCTCAAATGGTATATTTGCTAAAAATACTAACGCTTGCCTTCCCCGATGGCTTATTAAGTCTGCTGGCCTCACAAGTCTTGATTCTACCGCCCATGAAAGATTGGCTCCAGAAGGTCTTCAAAAGCATGTTACCAACACTCTTCGGGTGTTTCTCAATGTCGAGTACGCTTGCTTGGTAGCACATGTCTTCCGAGTCACTTGCTTCAGAAGCGAGGCAAGAATACTTCCTGGCATTCGGAAAACGAAGAGTGGAACAGGCTAGCAAGTGTGCAGGTGTGCGTCATATGAGAAGCCCCGCCTTACATTTTCCGGCACAGATTTGGGGAAATTGGTCCGTGCGCAAAGCATTGTGGGGATTTTAAGACCGTGGAGTCTACACATGTGCAGCCTCGAAATTTCTCCAAACGAAGTACGCCGGGCTCGGTAGAATTCCAAGTATGCTGGAGATTGGAACAGTCCTTCGGCGGCACTTGATGACATAGCATCCTTGAAATAGTGGCTCTGGAGCAGCTTTACTCGACATTGAGAAACACCCTCAATGTTAGTTCAAGGAGTACTTTACTTTAGAGGTACAGGTTCTGTATGCACTCAGTACCCTGTATAGTGAGAAAGTGGTAATCATTTCTCCTTTACCATAGCACCATCACAGCTCCACATATTACATTCCATTAGCAGACACTTTTATCCAAAGCAACTTACGAGTGCCATAAACCATCAAGATACAAACCATAATGAGTGCTGGTGCATTAGTGTCGAATGGGATAAACACTTTAAGTGTTATGTTTTGTGTATGTGCTGGGTTTAAATGTCAGTGTACATCGTAACAGGTTAGCTTCTGTTTGCGACGGATGATATGTTTTAGCTGCGGCAGGAGCACAGGCTTCGAGTGTCCTCACACACAAACACACTGATATTGGTATAACTGAATCTCCCAGCAGGCTGTGTGGGTGCATGATGTATCATCAGTGCTCAGAGTGGGAGAGGTCAGTGTCACATAATTAAACTAGCGGGTGACTGTGTGTGGGCACGTTCGCATTAGCAAGTTGTACTGCATTATAAATTGAATATATACTGTTGAATCAGTGTTGAAACAGAACACTGCACTTACTCAGATTTAGATGTGAGGAACAGGTTTTGATTCAAACTTGTATTGTACTTAATCGTGTTTATGTCTCTTTGTTTCAGGTGGAGCAGTCCAAGGTGCTGATAAAGGAGGGGGGTGTCCAACTGACGCTCACAATTGTGGACACTCCAGGGTTTGGAGATGCAGTGGATAACAGCAACTGGTAGGCGCATCATCAAGGTATATCCAAATGTTCTTTATGCTCATCTGATTGGTTTCTCTGACTGATATCTCTTATCTCCCAGCTGGCAGCCAGTCATTAACTACATTGACAGTAAGTGTGAGGACTTCCTGAACGCAGAGTCCAGAGTGAACCGCAGATCCATGCCCGACAACAGAGTGCACTGCTGCCTGTACTTCATCGCCCCCTCTGGACACGGGTAGGTCTGCATGAGATCAGGTTGTAATGAGATGAGGTTAATATGACCAAAGGCCCAACAGTATAAGGCTCTTAAGATAAATGCTCTTTTTGGCATTTTTAAAGTTGCATTTCCCTACATGTCGGTGCCAAAAGTAAATGCCATGTTGGAACTAGAACATTATTTTAAAATATTTAAACCATATTGAACATGTCATTTTACTTTAAGCCCACATAATAGTATGTCTGTAAAATATTAAGCTTATCCATTCATGTTTTTCTTGCAAAAATACCTTTGGGTTTTGGACTAACAACATATTTAAAGACATCAACTTGGATATTAAGAAACTGATGGCCATTTTTTTTTAAATTGAACTTTTTATAGATCAAACAATAAATCTATGAATCTAAAAAATAATCAGCAGATTAATCGATAATGAAGATAATTGTTATCTTTAGAATTGATTTACAGTATTTCCTGTTGAAACATGACATAAGAGATCAATCTCATTTTTTTCCTATGTGCTTTCATCGTTCTATCAGTCATTCTAATGTACAGTGTGTTCAGCATACAGCATCCTCTGTCCTGAGAGCAGGTAGTGCACAAGGAAACACTCCGAAAGAAACCCCATAATTATCAGGGAAAACGTTTGGGGAGGGATCCCTCTCCAAGGACCGACAGACATGCAATAGATGTCGCATGTACAGATTTAAAAAAGAGTGTGTGTGTGTGTGTGTGTGTGTGTGTGTGTGTGTGTGTGTGTGTGTGTGTGTGTGTGTGTGTGTGTGTGTGTGTGTGTGTGTGTGTGTGTGTGTGTGTGTGTGTGTGTGTGTGTGTGTGTGTGTGTCATAACCCATTTCTGATCATGCTCAGTAGAGTTCTGCTCTCCATCACTGAATCGACCAATCAGAGTGGAGCAGCCCACAGCCAAGCCTCTCATCTCAGACAAACACACTTTCTCATCTCACAGTGTGTGTGTTCCCTTGGCATCACTAGAACATTCCCTGTTTGTCAGTACTGCTGCAGCACCCGCCTTGGTTAAAATGTGGAGTGATGTCTCCACATATCCACCCATCTACTGCGGCTCAGTTATGGAGAGCTTTGATCCACTTAGATTGTGATCTCTGTAGTTTATAATGCTGCAGGGATTCGCTGAATGCAAGGTGTCTAAAATGTAATTCATTTATTAGCCAGAAAAGATGTGGACTTGATGCTTTCTGTTAATTAGTGTGTTAACACCTATAGTTCTTCAAATCTTTATTAGTGCGAATGCTGTGCCACAGCATTCCACTATAGTTCTTCAAATCTTTATTCTTCCTCTACCTCTTCTTCTTTCAACCAATATTTTGGCTCTCAATAACTTCAGCATACTTTCAGTTACAGAAACCATTCGAATATCGAACTATTCAGCCTTTTCAGCACATGATGGGAAACTTTCAACTTTTTCAAAATATGTTATACTTTTTGAAATATTCAGCTTTTTAAACTCTTTTTTTAACATGGAACTCAATGGGAGGAACCTTCAAATCCTCTTTGATTTCAAAAGATTTCAGGAGCATAATTAGTCTGGCCTGCTCAATTGCCTTCATCATATCAAACGGACCCACCGTTCTGGCCCAATAGTGATCTGAGTGACAACAAGTCAACCTAGCTCCCAATAGACTCCCATGTTAAATTTGTCCGGAACTTTCTTCAGAGGAGAGAGAAGTATACTTTAGACAAACTGCTCCCATCTTCACATTTTACATACAAAACCCCCAAAAAAAACATATCAGGTGTTATGATTATTTGTTATGATTAGGTGTTCAGCACAGAAACAAACACTGACAAACACACTGGACTTTAACAGACTGTCTCAGCCTATTTTCTTCTGTCTGATGGAGACTTCATACAGACTTCAACATGTTCCACATATTTTATACATTATTGGTGACGTATGGCTTTAGTCGAAAAGTTTGCCGTCAAAATATTCTGCTGCTTTCCCAAGTCTTTTTACTTTCTTTTCTCTTCTTAATACACATTAATTAATGACTACTTACATCTGATATTTAACTTCTTCAGCCTATTTTCAGCTACAGAAACCATTCAACTATTAACTTATACAGCTATTTCAGGACATTGAGGCTATACATGTTGTTGTTTATACATTTTTTTAAACCTTTTCTTTTAAATATTAAGCTTCTTCACTATTTTTCCTACTCTTCCAGTTTAACATTTCACTTTCAAGTATTCAACAAAGTCATTGCAATGCATTTGAGCTGGAACAATTTGATTCAAATCATTTCACTTTTCTGCATTTCTCCGCTAAGTTCAGCAACACACTTACTTGGTCTCTGTAGCTAAAAGCAGCTACCATTCAGCTAATAACATATTCAGCTTTTTCTTATTTTCAGCTAAATTCAGCCACAAATGTTCACAGTTTACAACATTCACACGCATTTTCTGCAGGAAATGCATTTTCTAGTTTGACTGGTTTCTCTGAACATTTAGCCATGTTTAATATCCGTTCTTATCTTTACATGTATTGGACAGCACCCAAGTTCTTGTTTCTTGTTCCTGGTCTCATTGGTTTTGGGACTTTTACTTAAAAGTGACTTGGGAACCTAAAGGAGGTTCATGTTAATGTCTGGTTCAATTAAACATGTTCAATAATTAACATTGCTTTCCGCACAGCTTTGCACATGTTCTAATTTAAAAGTGCATAATGGAGTAAGTTAACTAAGCTTCTCTGAATTCCACTGCTCTTGAACTTATAAAATGCCTGTAGCACGCCCCACTCAACATTCAAGCTATCTATTGATACACTGCCAGTACATGTTGAGGAAATAGTTAGTTTCTCTGGGTAAATATATCTGGTATCAGGTTTAGCTTTCCTGTAACTCTTCAGTACATTTGCTAAAATAAAGTTTCTAACTGTTGAATACTCTGAAACAGCTGCAGCATTGCGGTTTGTATATGGCTATAGAGTTTTAAATGAAAAAGTCCTGCATTAGACTGCATGCTCGTGTTTTCAAGATGTGCGTGTTAAGGTGTTTTATACCCAAAGATGCTGCAGTGAAAAGGCAGTAAAAAAATCTAGCACTGAGTGCAGCATGCAGTAAGTGTGTAGAGACGATTTATAGTTGAAATCTAAAAGTAATAACATTTGGAGATCACCACAGTCAGTATCTCCGACATTCTTATTCTTTACACCAGACACTGTGAATCCTGCTTTATCTAGGTCCCTGCAGGATTTCTCTGATGATGCACTGCACAATAACCTTCATTAAAACTATCAGGTTACCATATGCACAAGACTTTCTGGGATGAGTTAGTATCTCAATATCCCCTTCACACACTTATTGCTCACAAACACTCACACAACAAAACTATGCCCAGATATACTGTAGTATGGATCACTTGAACATGCATAACTGACAATAATTACATTCATTCGCATATCTGGCTACCAATAGTTATCTACAGTCATATATTTACATCCTTTTATCACATTGTGCACTACACACTGCCTGCTTAACTGGGCACTGGTCCCAGCTGTCATTCATTCAGAGAAAAGAGCCTATGGGAGTATGACAAAGACAGTCCCTCATCAGCCAAGTCATACAAAAAACAATGAGTTGTCACCACAGAAGAAGAATGTATGAGACAGAAAGTCCCTCTCATCTGGCTCCTGTCTTTGCACATCGCTGTGGGCGATGTGCAATGTCCTGGTGTGGTTGGCCCTCTGCTGGTGACCCACTGAACTGCATTACTTTAGATTCATCCTCATAAATGTAATGAACAAGTAGAATTGATCGCAGGTGTTGCCAGGAATGGACCAGTTGACTTCACTCAGTTCTTATGTTTTCTTTGTGTCTCCCCTTCAGTCTGAAACCGCTGGACATTGAGTTCATGAAGAGACTCCATGACAAAGTCAACGTCATCCCTCTCATTGCAAAAGCCGATACTCTAACCCCAGAGGAGTGCCAGCTCTTTAAGAAACAGGTGTTTATGTGTGTGTGTGTGTGTGTGTGTGTGTGTGTGTGTGTGTGTGTGTGTGTGTGTGTGTGTGTGTGTGTGTGTGTATGTGTCACATTCATGGGATAAGAAGCATAAACATAGTATGCTACAATAGGCATTCAAGCTTTCTTTATGAGATTTTAAATGTGATACCTTCTTATTTCTGTGGGTAAAGTTTGGAGCTAGAGCTAGGCATTTAGCCTAGCTTAGATTGAATACTGGAAGCTAAAGATATGATGCATTTGAGAGAGTTCATATATTATAAAGAAACATTACAAGCTACTGCCGCTTCATTAGTGAGATTTCGAGTTGTTGGTAGGCATATGTTTTAAATGTGGTCGAGCATAGCCATTTCATCCTTCTTCCATCCTTTATGCTAAGCTAATCACCTCCCTAGCTCCAAACTGTATGCACATGTGGTATCAATGGTATCAATCAAACTAATCAAACAATGGGTAAAGAAACAAAAGTATTTTACAATTAAAGGAGAAATTTGAATATTTGTTTGATCTTTATATTTTGACAGGCCAATGGTGTGTACTTGTTATCTTTATTCTGATTACGTTCTTCCTTTGTCAGATAATGAAAGAGATCCAGGAGCACAAGATCAAAATCTATGAATTCCCAGACACGGAGGATGACGAGGACAACAAGCTCATCCGAAAGATTAAGGTAATGGAGCATGCAGTCTTGTTAGTAATTTGATACCTGATTTAAGGCCTTCTGATTGATCTAAGTAGGAAGACAGCCAGATATCAGTCTGTCCTGTAGGCTGTATCCAACTTCTGCCCCATTTCTCGATGCCAGGCAGCCTCTTTACAATACTGACCATCATCTTTACAGACAAGCACATTGAAGAATCTTCATTATGTATTGTCATTCATGTAACGCTGCCACAATCAACTCTGGAAATAGCAAACATGGTACTATATACGGTAAAATATTTCATCCGCATCATATTAATGTGGACCCTTAGGGACATTTCTATAATTTAAAGGCCTGCTCGCAGCAGCATTTGAAACTGTGAGATGACACAGATAGCCCAAAATGGAGGAAATATAGTAACATAAATAGCTCAATTGCACCATCCAGCATTGTAAACCCTGCTGCTCTATTGCAGTATACTGTAAACTGCTCCACATACATTTGTATTATTTTCTGGTTTTCCTGAGGCCAGGTATGGTCAGTAGCCAAAGGAAGTAACCAATCAAACATTGAAAAACAAAGAAGTGTCATTGCAACATCCATAATGCAGGAAGCAGTGTATTGTTCCCAGTGAAGTCAAGTTATTTCCACCCCCCCCTCCCCAGGAGAAGATGCCACTGGCAGTGGTCGGCAGCAACGTGGTGATCGAGGTGAACGGCAAGAAGGTCAGAGGTCGCCAGTACCCATGGGGCGTGGCGGAAGGTAGGTTCACTCTGGTCCTGAACCTGGCGAGACACTTCCTCCATGTTGTGGTCAGACTAGATCATGAACCAGGAAATGGGTGTGCACACTTTGATAGTTTGTATCGAGAAATGATTCTGTACTTTATTTCTGTTCGCGCCTTATTCAGACAATGACAAATTAGAAAGGAAGACTGAAGCAAATTGGCTTTACAAATGTTCTGTGTTTAAGATCAAATAGATATAACAGTGTTATCTCTATCATGAAGAATTAAGCATGATATAGCTGAGAGTGAGAGACGCAGTGTTTTACAATGCCCCCTGTATCCACTGAATGTAGTCACTACCAGGTAATAGAGTACATATTCATCCTTTACTGGAAATTAATTGATGTCAAAATGCAACCTGTTAGTAGAAAAGTAGAGAAAGTAGATATTAAGTGTTTTATTGCCGCATAGCACATAATCGTAACACACCTGCTGGAGTTTCATTTAATTAGTATTGAAATAAATATTTATTTTAGCGAGAACAAAGAATATTGTTGAATTTATAAGTCAAACAACAATGAATACTCTGATTTGAACCATCAATTTAATAAGGTAGTACCAAGACAACACTTGAGAGGTACAGCTTTGTACATGACACAATTAGTTAGCTGTGTAATGTTTGTTAAACATTTTACATCAGATTGCTTTTTGAGGCTTTGAGTCTCGGTGGAAGATACCAGCATTTGAGGATCACTTCTCAATGACTGTTATATTGTTGTTTTTTCAGTTTGTGAGATTAACAGTGATGACGAGACATTGCAAAATCAGCCTTAAGCTTGTGGAATAGATTATTCATCGACAATTGTGTTTTATTTGATATGTTTGTGATCTGTTCCCAAGGTAAAGAAAATGCCTTGGTAAGATGGTTTACTCAATTTTTTCAAATGTGGTAAATACATGAGCGAGACATGTCCCTAAAGCCAGGTTTGAAGTTACCTTAGTCACCCACTTGTCTTCACTCAACATGAAAACACATGGATCTTTGGTATTGTGGGTCTTCAGCCTCGAAAAGGACTCTGAAAAGAACGTAGGTAGTGCATTATGGGATATGTTGTTTAAAGAACTGACAATGTCACTACCAGCTCTGATAAACTGCTGTTGCCCTGACTTTTTCTTTAATTTCCTCTGATGTGCTGTGTATATCTGAGTGGAGTTGTTGATCTGTAGTTGACCGTTGATCAGTCCCTCACTTTTTCATTCTTTCTTTCTCCCTTTTTTTTTTCTGTCTATACTTTTCCATGACTGACAGAGGGCATTTTTGGTAAACCAAACCATCTTTCTCTTAATTTCAGCCTCATTCCCCCCCCCCTCCTCTTCCTCGTCCTCCTCAGTGTCCTCCAAANTCACCTCCCTTCCCCTCAAACCTAGCGGTCAGTGTGGAGGTGGAAAGCAAACGTTGGAAGAACGGGCCGGCAGATTAGGATGGAAGTTTACCTTTCTGGAGCTGTTATGGTTTTACCTACTCCCTTAACACTACTGGATTTCAGCTCTTGTTCAAGACTTGTATACATACCGAAAAACAGTTTTTGCAATAGTGGGAACATTACTTCATGAGAGTGTACACAACTTGAAGACACTCACCAGATAAACAGCAGTCCAACACATTAATAGACATCTCTGGATCGTAAGTGTACTACGGCAAGTCTATACTAGTCGGGTTCTACCTATCACGACGGCGCAGTATCCCAAAAGTAGAATTTATGGGAGTCCAGCCCGTCACTATTAGAGGACACATCGACCTACTCATTTCCTGTCTGACGAATTGGGATTTCTTCCTGTCACCTTTTGTGTATTTCTGATTACTCGAGTTGCAACTCAATAAACTCTGCACAACTGAGACCACATTCGTGACACAGGCCCGGAGTTACGTGGGGTTTCGGAATATAAATCGGGATTCTCTACAAGTTGTGATTGCAGCGTAAACTATTTGTAGCAGAACGCCAGTTTAAAACACAATTTTATAAGTCCCCTTTTATTGCGTCATCAAAACAGGTTAACTTACAGATTACAGGTAGACACCGAAGTATAGGATAAGATATATTCGAAACCTGTTTCCTTTTAACTCATGTGAGGGACAGTGGAATTCGTTTTTCGACGGGGGGGGGGGAGGGGGAGTGGTGTAGAGTTTCGGACGGGAGGGAGAGTCCGGTACTACCTCGTCCCAACGGTGACAATGAGACTAATTTGTCCACAAAATGTGTGTAACAGTGTCCGTCGTTGTTTTTCACGGGGCGGCGGGGGGGGGGAGAGAAAGGTAGTCGGGTGACTGATGCGGTCGACCGAAATACGGTCTCAGGCTAGTAGGAAAGGTAGGAAGAGACCTGGACGCCAATGAAAATTCACGTAAATCAACTTCTGGACGTTGATTTCTTGTTTCCACACCCTTACTCAAAGACTAAAAAAATCATAAGTAAATATTTTACGTAATTTTATATATTTGACATTCTTCCGTAGAGGGAGATGAAATTACCATCAAATAATCAACATGTGATAAATTATGTTCCGTATTTTTACAGTGTTATAGACCGGAGACAACTAAACTAAGCTTGTAAAAAAATTAATTTTAGACAGACGAGTGATAAGTGGGTATCGAAATACTTTCGCGTTATGATTATAAAACCCTTTGTACGAATCGAATCGGTCCTCCAGGAGAAGTCCACGACGAGTGTGCCCTTGCAACGCAAATACGCTTTTTAATACGCAATTGTTTCAGAAGGCAAGTGTTTGTGAAGCAAGAGTAAACCTGCACAGACAAGGGATACGCAGACAAAGTGTGCTCTTGCGACTTTGCGACACAGTTATATGGCTCCTGTGCTGTCTCATCATTAGGCTGATGGTCAAACCAATGCTCTAATCAGACCTGGGCTTAAGTACCAAAAACACATCGTATTTGGACATATTTGTACGCATGGATATATTGAAACGTGAATGTGAATATTATATATTTTTTTTAAACATAGACATCAAAACTCTTCATGTGTTCTCAGTAGAATGTTGGCCCCAGTGCTCTCTGCTGAATTAGCCTCTACAGCTAGCCTAGTCCAATGAACGCTAAGGCTAGCAGCAACTATTAATAGTTTATTTAATAGTTCAAAGATAACTCAAGTAGCTGATGTTGATGGGTTCATTTTTAAATGGGATGGTACTAAGACTATACACAACAGCTGAGATTCTGCCAGTTTGGTATTATATTGTCCCAATGGCCTTCATTTACATCCATTCACTGAACAGCAGTACATGGCCATCCTTAAATCATTTGGCGTAATTTAAGGGCCTTACACATATATGAGCCACGTACTATAGAGTGGAGCAGTGATGACGTATTTATATAGGGAGACTCGTAGTTGGCATCACAAGGGCTCCCTCGACAAAAAGCAATGGGGTTTCCATTGGATTATGGAATATTGTAGAAAAAATTATCTGTGGAAAACACACGTTTATGATACTTACACGTTTTGTTCAGCAAGATAATCACCACTTTATGATTGTTATGGTGTAAATGCAATCGCCAGAAGTAAAATGCTAACATTAGGCTCTAAACAAGCGACATCGCAGTTATATGACGTCACCACCGCTAAGCTAAAAGCGGTTAATTTTTGATGTGATGACGTTTAGCAGATTCATTTGCCAGAAACTGCTGTTTTTACAACACAAAGAAGATTCTGACATTCTCCAGTTTGGTATTTACTGACGTAGAACACAACATTAAAATCTATTAAGCTTATGTACTACTTATTTCAGGCCTCTAACCAAAAACCCATTGAATTTGAGACGAGGGAGCTCGAATGGTGCAAAAGTACCACTCTATTATCAACTTATTGTAGTTATTCCTAGACAAATTGATATTGGCATATATGTAAGCAGATAAAAATTCCAAATCTACCTTATGCAGGGGTAATTTTAAAACAGTTTTGCATAATTTGTCTACCAGAGAGCACTTACAAGTATTTTTAAATGTTGGAATGGTACAATGTCTCCCTTAGTACTTATATTGGTCACAAACAAGATATTTAGACAATCTCTACTCTTCCTATTGTTTGTTATAATAGTGGTTGTGTTAGCGTGGGGCAGGATTTCTTGTAATCTACCAGAGACACATGAATGATTCTGTTTGTTGTCTTTGTTTTCCAGCACTGAATCTGATTGTAAATCTGTAACAAAACCTCACTGTATTGTTTCAAAGGATAACTCCAATCCTTAACAATATGGAACATGTTTGGATAGCTTTGACTGACCTTTCTATCAGTTACTCTCATAGTAATTACTGATATTTGGGAACATGATGACATCACACGACATGAATTTCTGATGCAGCAAAAACTCCTAAGCAGGTTGTGAACAAACCAATATTTCATCCAGACTATCTAGCCCACTTTCTATGGATGGATGCTAAGTAAAAAGCTAAAGCACTTACCTGCATGTGCAGTGTGGGATGATTTTACCATTTGTCTTATTTTTCAAATGCTTTGCTCACCTGAGGGTTTGTTGAAATCTGACGTACGACTTTTTCTTGCTGCATCAGAGTCTCTTTTGTGGTTAGGGTTAACTGTGTTCCCAGATCTCGGTAATCAACTTTAGTTAGGAGTTTAAAGTAATATGTCCTTGTAGTCTTGATGGCCAAGGTTGTAATACACTTCAGTTATCCTGCTAGGTGCATTTGGTCACACAAAATGTGCCTGGTGTTGTCAGCAGGTGTAAAGCCTTCACACACTGGCTTGTTGGCCCAGGTCTGATGCTGAATAGTCATGGAGAAAACTAGAGGCTGTTTGGTGCTGAAGCTACAATACTCTCCAACGCTGCTGTGGTTCCCTGCTTTGCTCCTATGGTATAATGGCACTCTGTTGTACCGTTGATCAGTCTTGCTTCACCACATGTTGTCATGGTGCAGACTGAGGACTGTACAGGCGTAGCTGTATCACTGGACCAAGGACTGGGATCCACCCTCATAACGCATTGCTTAAAGATTCATTTAATGGTGAACTAGCGTTTGTCAATAGGGACATGTTACGGCCCATTTAAATCATCAAGGTAACACGTGTTATTTTATGAATTCTCACACATTAGCATATGTTTATGTGAGACTTTTAATATAGAAAGATGCTGAACCAGGTGTGTGCTCTTGATTCATTAAACCAATGCAGTTCATCATCATGGCCTCAACACACACTGCTAATAGATCCAGCGCTCAGGCTCAAAACACCTGATGGACTCAGAGAAATGTATATCGAAGACCAAGATTGACAATTAAAAGCTAAAACGATTTTTGTGTCCATCAGGTATTTTCTGCCATCCATCAACAAATAAGATGCTGTATACTATATTTTAAAACCTTTCTTTTCCTACGACCATTGACCCCACTTAGCTCCTTCACTTGCACCCCCGGCTGGTCATGCGTAGATCCTCAGATAACACCCCCCCTCCAACCACCACCCTCTACAAGTCCTACTTAGTCGGTCAGTTTGGACACATGCAGGTTATGGTGTTGATCTGGGCCAAATCTGGGCCAGGTCTGAGCCAAAACAAACCCAGCTGCTCCAGACCCAGATTTAGCCCCCCCGCAGGGCGCAGACAGTAACTGAAAAACCGTACCCCTCCCCTCCGTCAGAGCTTCCTCCTCTAGAAGAGACAGAAGGTCAATGGCTGGCTTGGGAGGCCAAGGGGCGGGACAACATAAGTTTCATCAATGGTAAGGTATCCTCCTGAATCCCTGATGATGATTGACTGCCAGCAGGCAGGAGGCTAACCAATCAGGAGCAGCGTGTTTGATGAAGAGGAGGCTGGATCCACCACACACATCCTCAGCAGCAGTTCATCTTTTCCAAAAGCACATCTGACCGTGTAACCATGTCTTTGTTGTTAAGATGAAAACTCACAGCCATCTAACTGAACCATGTTGACATGAGAATAGTTCTGTTTACTGTTGTCTGACCAATAACTGTTTGTCTTCTATGTGGCGTCAAACAGTGAAAGGCTTTGATCCGATAGCAGGCGTTTTTATTTTTCTCTTCTGAATGACTACTGTATCTGTAATTACAAGAGACTCTCTTGTACTGATGAACCAATCAGTGGTGTAAAGTAACTAAGTACTGTACTTAAGTACAATTTTGAGATACTCTACTTGAGTATTTCCAGTTTTTGTTACTGTGTACTTTTACTCTATTTTACGCTATTTATTTAATACCTTTAGTTACTTTACAGATGTGAAATATAACCAAGTGTTAAATCAGACTTTAGTTCCACCTGGAGTAAATCCAAAAGCTACCCTGCAGTATACAAAGTCATTCAAACTAGCTGCACCTTTACCAGCTTTGATAACACTTTCATGATCTATCATTATAAAACATATCATATCTATTATTCTGAAATGGAATAATCTGCACAATGATTACTTGAGTATATTTTGATACCAATACTTTTGTACTTTCCATGAGTAACCTTTTGAATGTAGGACTTCAACTTGTAACAGAGTATTCCTACACGCCGAAAATTGAGGCTATTGTATGACAAGTAAAGTCACTGCTTTATGTCACATGACTTAGCTCAGCCTCGCCCTGATCGAGCCAATCTCCATTGAGAAAGCAAGCATTTCAAAAAGTGTTTTGCTTATTTCGGCATCCCTTTTGATATGATTATTTCAATAAAACTACAGCAAAATATGCCTTTGAGGTTATACAGTGTAGGAAACAAGATAGATAAGCTGTGAAATGTGTGTGTGTGCGTGTGAGCGCGCGTCAAGGATGACGTTATGAATCCAGACACAACAGCGAATTGTTTTTGGACATGTGAAGATAAACCAAATTAAGCTTAACATAAAAATAAATGTTATGGGTCCAGTGTGAACGCACCAGAGGGCAGACATGCTCTCTGTATCAGCCTCCTCTCAGGTTTACTCACCTGGTTTGCCTTTTTAAAGTCCTATGTGATCATGGCCTGGCGTCTCTTTGCTCTTATTGCTGTACAATAACTCATACTCTACTATACCTTCATTTACTGTCACTTCTCTTAATACCTCCTCCTTATAACTGATGAATGTGTGAACCATACATACTGAGTGTGTGTTTGTGTACAATGTGGTCTCCATAGAGATTCATATCATGAAGTTTAACTTGGTGATGCTTTGCACATATTTTGTATATTGTTTTTGATATTGTAAGTACAATTAATTTGATCTATTATGTAAATAACACAAACAACTGTTGTTGATTTTACTCACCAAAAACGATATATATAGTTTATGCTTGGACTATGAACACAGCCAGTGACTCTAGCAGCTGACAGTTATTTACACAGTTAATCTGGTTATTGCAGTTATTTAGCACCTTGAGACCAGAAAATAATTATTCTGATTATGTCTAGAGAAGAGTTCATGTAGACTAATGTTTGATGTCTGTGTCCCCCTCCCTCCCTCTCTGCCCCCCCCACCCCCCGTGTGCTTCAGTGGAGAACGGGGAGCACTGTGACTTCACCGTGCTGCGCAACATGCTGATCCGGTGAGTCCACGTTCTGTTCAACATTCCTGCTTAACTCCAAGCAGCTAGGGCAACGTTCACTTTGTGTTGATTTTGGCGCTCCCATAGTCAAATGAATAGAGAGAAAATATCTATGATTCAGCTAAATGTTACTACTTTTGGGATCTAATGATCAAAATGGGGGCTATTCAAATGTTCTCCCTGAGAAGTCGATTTACCTCAAAAAATGTATAGGCTGATTTACAGACATCTCTTTCCCAGTCTAGAGGAAAAGTGTTTTTATGGAACCAATGGAAATACGTGACACAAAATTGTAGTTCCACTATATGCCTTCCTGAGGCATGACAAGCTGATAATCCGCCCCCCACAGCCTAATTGTATCACTGGACTTTTAAGGTATCTGAACTAATTATGACCACATGACAATAATGTCACATTCTGTTAATCTGCCAAAGAAGGGAATGTTACTTGCTCACTTGAATGTGTGTAGTTTGAGGAATAAGGTTCATAAACTCTGCCATTTGGTAGAATCAAATAATATACACATACTGGCTATCTCAGAATCACACCTGGACTCATCTGTTGATGATTCAGAGGTTGCAATGCATGGTTACAATCTGTTCAGAAAGGATAGAGATAAGAATGGTGGCGGAGTTTTGATCTATGTACAAAATCATATTCCAGCTAAAGTACGATATGACCTAATGAAAAATAAAATAGAAGCTTTATGGTTACAAATACAATTGCCAAATGTAAAACCCATATTAATTGGATGCTGTTATAGGCCACCGAGTGCCAATTCAAACTATCTAGATGGTATTTGTGAAATGGTAGATAATACAGCTGAGTGTAATAGCGAAATATATTTCATGGGAGACCTGAATATCAATGCTCCATGTTGAACAAGATTGCATTAGCTGCCAAAATGTGTAATATGACTCAGGTAATAACATCACCAACCAGAAGGGCTGCAAATACACATGGGGCTATTACAACGACCTGCATTGACCACATCTATACGAACAGGCCAGAGCACTGCACTAAAGTGTTGTCACTCACAGTTGCCTTTAGTGATCATAATCTAGTTGCTATAGTACGCAAGACCAAAATACCTAAGGCTGGCTCCAAGATAAATGATAGAAGGTCTTATAAGGGGTTTCATCAGGGACAATGTGTAGAGGAGGTAAATAATGTGCAATGGTTTGATGTTTGCCATGAGGAAAACCCAGAAAAAGCACAGGGAGTATTTATGAAGTCTTTCATGGGGATTGCCGATCAGCATGTTCCTATGAGAAAATGGTCTGCCCGGTCAAAGTGTGCACCTTGGTTGAATGACGAGATGAGAAGTTTAATGATCCAACGAGATGATGCTAAAAAAACTGCAGACAGAACAGGTTCTCTATGTGACAAACAACATTACTGTAAACTAAGAAATGCGGTAACCAAATTGAATAAATGTAGAAAGAGGGAATACTACATGCAGGAAATCAGTGATTCTACGAATGATGGAAAGAAATTATGGAAAATATTGAATAACATAATGGGGAGGAACTCAAACATGCATCCTTCCTTTATAGAAACCGAGGGTAAATTCATTACCAAGCCAGCAGATATTGCAAATCATTTTAATGATTATTTTACAAATAAAGTAGATAAGCTGAGGAATGCCATGGGTGCAGTCGAGGACACAGTGTCACATCACATCAGATCGTATCATGAGGGAAAAGCAGTGCATGTTTGAATTCCACAATGTTTCAGAAGAATAGGTTGAAAATATGCTTTTACATTTGTCCGATGATAAATCTCCTGGGATTGACAACTTGGATGGTAAACTGCTCAAAATGACGGCCAAATACATATCCAAGCCACAAGTCACATTTTTAATAAAAGTTTAGAGCAACGAGTCAACGAGACTAAGTTGCTTGGCATTGTTCTTGATTCTGGTTTACGGTGGACAAAGCAAATTGACAGTATTGTAACTAAAATGGGAAGGAGCATAGCTGTGGCGAGAAAATATACAAAGTATGTAACACCAACCACTTTGAAACAAGTCATTCAGTCTCTGGTTTTGTCACATCTTGAGTACTGTCCGGTCATATGGTCATCAGCAGCAAAAACACATTTACAGAAATTACACATAGCTCAAAACAAGGCTGCCAGACTAGCTCTCCACTGTTCGAAGCACACTCATATTGGAGTTACGCATAGAAACCTATCATGGCTTCCGGTTGAGAAACGCCTGCAATCTAGTGTTATCACTTTTTTTTTTTAAATCCAATTTTGCAAAAAAACACTTTATTTTTATGATCAAATAGTTTACACAAGAGACGAGCATGACCATAAGACTAAACAAGCTACATCAGGCCATCTACTGGCACCTAAACCCAGGAAAAATCTTCTGAAATCTTCTGTGTCTTATAGAGCTATAAAGGAATGGAACTCATTGCCAAACTACCTTACTGAAATAGAGTCCAGAGCCTGTTTCAAGAAGAGATTGAAGGGCCATCTGCTAATGACCATGTACCCTTGTGAGCTGTGAACCCTAATTGAATTTGATCTCATGCTTTGTACTGGTGGGTGTCGAGTGTACTCATCCTTGGCTGAGATTGATATTGAAAGTGGATGAGATTGTTGATGATGTTGGAAATTGTTGATGATATTGGTGATGTTGTTAATGATGTCAGGACTTATGTCTTGAATGTTGCTGTATTATTGTTGTATTATTGTTGTATTTTTTTAAGTGTCGGACCCCAGGAAGAGTAGCTTTTGTCAAGAGCAAAAGCTACTGGGGATCCGTAATAAACATAAACATGGCCAGGGAGAAAATTCCCTTCTGCGTTTGTTTTAGGAGGAAGTGAAGAGGGACGCAGATAGTTTTTCATTCAAACGTAGTTGTTTTCAGAATGTTACGCAATAGTGTAATGCATCTATTTTTGGCTGCTTGGATTTAATAACATGATAGTGAAAAAAACGTAGCTTTAGCCACCAACTCATCCATTGATGTAAAAAGCACGTCTTGCAATATATTGCATTAACAGAAACCAGTTTTTCTGTCTGTTTATCCTGCTGCTGTGTTAGCTAAACCTCCAACAATAACATCAAAACCTGACTTGAGTTCTAGTGACTGTGAATCGTCACCTGTTCATGTGACCATGGGCTCTTCCGGTCTGCATTTAGAAAAAGAACTGATCTGCAGGGGATTGGACACGAGAACTGGCATTAAGAACAAAATCACTTTATAGCCAATATTCTCACTGATGCTCTCGTTTTCTTATGTAGGTCATAGAGAGGCATACATATTCAATTGAGTTTCATACCCAGTTAAAAAACTTGAATCTCATGAAGGCAACTTGAGGCTAACTTGTTATTTTTTTATACCCAAAGACGACGACACCACTGTTCTGCAATAACACTTGTGTGTAAATTGGAATAACTTTTACATTTTTTATTTGAAATCTAATGTCCATGCCCTTTATTCAATAGTGTTTCATTTTTGTTTTCTATCTTCGCTTTTCCTGTAACAATGTAAATGTCCCCTCAATATATTGTCCCAGAATTTGGTCCCCTTATAAACAAAATTAATATTTCTTCTGGAGTTCTGTTTCTATTTTCTCTCCAGCCTCCTGCAGACTTCCTGTACCTGATTGGTTTATTTTCTCCCCCTTCTATAGGACGCATATGCAGGACCTCAAGGACGTCACCAACAACTTCCATTATGAAAACTACCGCAGTAAGAAACTGGCTGCTGTCACCTGTAATGGAGTGGACACCACCAAGACCAAGGGACAGCTCACCAAGTACGCCTCAGAACTTCAATAATACCATCCTCATTTCAATTATGGAGAACACATGACTTCACAGCTTGGTGTCACTGCTTTACTTAAGAAAGATCTGACCCCTCTCTTTGCTCTGGTCCACAGGAGCCCCCTGGCCCAGATGGAGGAGGAGCGCAGGGAGCATGTGATGAAGATGAAGAAGATGGAGGCAGAGATGGAGCAGGTGTTTGAGATGAAGGTGAAGGAGAAGAAGCAGAAACTGAAGGACTCGGAGGCTGAGGTGGGTCTGAGGGGGGTGTGTGTGTGTGTGTGTGTGTGTGTGTGTGTGTGTGTGTGTGTGTGAAGATATTGTAAATATTTTCATTGTCTCCATTCACAACGGTGTCCACCATGAGTCCATTGATGAACATCTCAAAGCCAAATGACTCTCCTGCAGCCAGGGGGGCTGGGAGGCGAGGAAAGACTATCCCTTACCTTCATTGTTGGTATACCATTGTGCACATGAATGGGCCCTAAACATTGAAACAGAATACTACCAGAAAATATACAAAAAGTATTTGATTTGAATTCAGAGGATGAGCAACATAGAAGGAAATGTAACTTCAAGCCTCAGTTGTGTGTCTCTGTAGTTGGCGTTAAACTGTGGAATTATTTACCAAAAGGTTTAAAGGGCTGTATTAACATCTTCAGGTTTACGAGAATCAGTGTTTCCGCCAGACCAGGGCTGAGAGGGCGTCCACCCCGAGAGCGGGGGGGTGGTTGTTTTGAATTTCGACTTGAGCCGTCCCTTATAGATACTGTATTTTTACATTAGTGAACTGGATCATTTGGCTCGGCTCTCTTAAAGCGCCGGCTCTTTCGGCTCCTAAACGGCCCTTCATGTTACCACAGTTTACCACGGAGCCTCATTTTCGCCGCTGCGAGGCTCTGGTGCTCGCAGCTCACGCGCGTGCTCCACTAAACCCTGACGTATAAGGCCTATATAAGGTGTAATATACAGTTTAAAGGTCAACAAATACATTTATTTATCAGGTAACTATTAAGATCTTTAGAATGAATGAGTGAGAATGAGCAGAGGGAGGCTCTCAGACAGCTGTAGCAGCATGTGGGGCTCACAGCTGATGCTCCTCACATCACACAGCAGGTTCAGAAACAGCATCCTGTCTGACGAGCTGCATCCAAACTGTCAGAGCCTCAGCTCATCGTGTTCTCCTGAACTTCTGCTCTGTGCCCCGGGTACAGTATTGTGTTTCGACAGTTGAACATTACAGTATTTAGTAAGAAGACAGAGACTGTGAGGTGGTTGTGATTTAGATTGCTCCTGTTTGTTTGAACTTATTGTTATAAACTTTTTGTATGCATTTCATATGTTTATTCTAAATTCACGTCATTCTTTGAGTCTGCAGTGTTGTACCTGCATCACACCAGCTCCAAAACGCTTAACAATTAGTAACCTGCATTTCAACTATGTAACAGTAGAACAAATAGCCTAGCATTTTTGAGTCATGAATCTCTTTAGCCTAGTTAGCAGTTTCTATGGGTGCGTTTCACTTCTCTTATTTTTCATTTCCTCGCTCCTCGGGCTCGGTCTCAACGGAAGTTGATTTGTCTGCGCCATCTTGAGTAGCGTCCCAGTGGCCTTATTTGTGCCCGAGGATNCCTGTAAAGAGTTCCTATTCTGCTTCCTGTAGTGTCTTTATATAAGTTTCTGTGCATGTCAATGGTCTGCTTGCGTCTTAGTCCCTCCCACCAGGGAAGCATGGAGAGACGCAAGGGGTGCATCTCACTTCTCTTATTTTTCATTTCCTCGCTCCTCGGGCTCGGTCTCACCGGAAGTTGATTTGTCTGCGCCATCTTGAGTAGCGTCCCAGTGGCCTTATTTGTGCCCGAGGATCGAGGAGTGATAACGGAGGAGCGATAATCAAGGAGCTACCAGACCATCCTCCGGTGAAATCCTCTGACACTCGCCCCGCCCCCTTACTGTGTATCGCTCACTGATTGGACGATGGAGCGCATGCGCTGATCTGGCTGCTGTCAGACGATCAGTTGTGCGGTGTCATCACAAACGGACGTCGCTTCACGTGACGCTCCGGAGGAGAGGACGTTCCATTGCTCTTAAAACTCATTTCCCTGCTTCTCGTGGTTTCCTTGCGTCTCTCCATGCTTCCCTGGTGGGAGGGACTAGACGCATTTAAACGAAGTGAGAGGCACCTTATGTCAAAAATAATTAGCACCCGTCTTTCACATCAAGCACCCTGTATTCTTATGAATTACGAAATATGAAAATTATGAAATTCTTGGTGAATATAATTGCTGTTATAAGTAATAACAATCTCTGTGGTGTTTAAATGTATATGTAGCAACATTAGCCTTCCCCATCGTGTTGTACCTGCAGCGCCGCACTGTGGCTTTCAGAAGACTGCATGATTTATGTTCCCAAAAAGCCTTTATACCCAATGATTTATTGTAAAACAGCTGCTAATCCAGGCAAACTCCAGTTGTCATAACTACTACAGTGTTAATTATCTTTGAATTGCCCATGAAACAGTATTTATGCAAACATTAAATTTCTCCACAGTATACTCTATTGACTGTGCATTTCATACTGACTGGCTGGCAAGTCATTAGGATGAAGCAGACAGCATAAGCAGACATTCTCAGTACATTTGCCAGGGTGAAAAAATGCAATAATGAATGAATCTGGACCTTCAAATGGATGCATCGACTGTAGAATCTTTCGAATGAATGTTGGCTACAAATAAACTGCAGTCTATAGATGTAATGAACAGCTGTAGAGAAAAGAAAATGTGGCCGCAAAGAAGATAAAGGGATGAGAGGAGTATCAAATAAGAGTGTGAAAAGGAGGAAGAGACCTGTATTGTGTGCTATTGAAGGGGGAATACAACTTGAGAGTAACTGTGATGTTCGTCCCTCAGCTGGAGCGACGCCACGAGCAGATGAAGAGGAACCTGGAGGCGCAGTACAAAGAGCTGGAGGAGAAGAAGCGGGTGTTCGATGACGAGAAGCTCCACTGGGAGGCTCAGCAGAGGATCCTGGAACAGCAGAAGCTGGACGCCTCCAAGTCAGTCTCACTACTACTATTTCACTCATTCATCTTACGTATGTTGTACAAAGCTATATTTATTATTAGCATTATTAGGCCAGACTCCCCCCAAGCCTTATACATCATAGACTATGACAGATAGAATCCATACCATCATTTTATGGATGCACTTTTTACAGAGAAACTGCCATTCTATGTTGAGCTCACTACAGACACGACACACTCTGTTTGAACTTGTTTTCACTCTGAGAAAATCCCTGCACTCTTGTGGTGTTACCATGGTTACCAAATCATCTTGGATACATAGTCATAAGGAGCACTTCCTGTAGAGATCACCATCAGCATGAATTTATTGAAATCTTGTTTTTGAAAAAATGCTAAAGTCACACTGACAGTCAAATCCTCCTCTTTGCATTCACACTACAACACACTGCTCCAAGGTAACAAACAGCAACACTGTGGCCACTATGTACACAATAATACAAGATCAAACATGGCCTCACAAATAAAGAGGGGTCATTTATGTCATGCACAAAGCTGTTTCTATCAAAGGTTTCTAATATATTATATGGCAGATCTAGACCAAATCAATATAATTAATTACGTTATCATATTCTCCCCTTTTATTATGGTGAGTGCGAAGGCAATGTATTCATTTCTTTAAGTGTTGGGGTCAAAATACTGGCCAAAGAAATGTGCATAGAATTTGACCAAAAGAAATAAATGTATGTATATTTTGTAAAGATTTGGTTGAAGATCAACACGTAAAGCTCAATAACGTTTCTCCCTGTTTTGTACAAGATTGTAACATTCCTTTTCTTGTTCCCCACACAGGACGATGGAGAAAAACAAGAAGAAAGGAAAGATCTTCTGAAGAGAACGATTCTTCACTTTTAAACAAACTCGGTTTTCCTTCATCCCCTCTGAAGTTCACATGTACTGTGGCCCTCCAAACACACACACTAACACACACACACATTAACAGATTTTTTTTCCACAACATCCCTCTATGCTACATTTAACATGTACCACTTGTGACGGATGGAAGACACACACACACACTCGTCTCTCAGCAGGGTTACCGTACCTGTTGAAACTTCTTGTTTCCATGGGGAATGCAAGTTTTTGTGAAATTCTATTTTCCTATATTTCCTGACAAAGGCGAGACCCTTCCTCTGAGCTACAGTACGACACGCGGCAGGGACCACCCATAGCCATCTGCTCACATGTAGTAGTGTATGTTCTCTAGATATTCCATAGATCTTCAGGTAGACGTACTGTCTCTCTTCTTTGATTCTTCCCAAAAACAACATAACACACTGTACTGTATTCAAGCACTCTGTCATAAAGACCTCATAAGAGTGTGTTAAGAGAAGGGAGAGTGTATGTGAGTGAAGGGAACTGCGTCGGGAGCGGGGGGGAGTCAGGTGGGAATAAGGCCCGTTCATAGAAAGTCAAAATAATCAGCAAATCTTTTAAAAGTGGAATACTACAAGTCTATTTGCCAGCACTGTGAACCCGGAAATATTGAGTACCCCAAAGTTTTATGTCATAAATGTATAGCACATAGAAACTGCCGGATGCTAACCTGCATATGTTGTGCAATTTGCACAAAGACATCAGTTGCATTCATTAGCTTATGCAGACATAGATAAAACATGGCTTGGTCAATTTTGGTGTGTTTTTGGAGGTTATTGAGGATGTTGAATCAATTTCTGACTTTTCAGGATCATAAGTGGCAGTTTTCAGCCCCTTAAAACTTTCAAATCGACCCAAAATTAATCAAAATCAGTCCACCTGGACGTCAGAAATGGACTCAACATCCTCATTAATTATTGCTAATTAATGTAACATTGCGCAAATTGCCCAACATGCAAGTTAGCATCCAGCAGTTTCTATGTGCTGGGGACCTGAACTATACATTATCATAAAACGTTTGGGGTTCCCAACTTCTCCGGGGTCACTCTAGGACTCTAAGAGCTGGCAGATAGACTAACCTGGTAATGACTACATGTAAGGCCAGTCAAGAAACCTCTGTTACTGAAGAGCTTAATACTTACGTGTTATTGCTATTTGGTCAGTTTCACTTTTTAGCAAATATGTCTTTGGAATAAATGACCATAACTTACCAAACTTATTGTCCTTTTTCCAACGTTTTTGTATTTAAAAAAAAATGTTTGCTGCAATGCTTCCTGTCTCATAACTGTCTTCAGGACATTCCTCTTTTATGGAGCAGTTTTCATTCCAGCAGGGAGATCAATCAAAAGCTAATTGTAGCGGTGAAATAACAAAACAAAGTGGGGCACCAGTAAGCAAATCTTGTGATGGGGAAATTATCCAATCTTTAGGCAAGAACGTCATCTTTGTTAATTTATTTTGTAATTATCCAAATATCCCACATATATAGAACAATTAATTCACCTGTGGCTTTTCCTGTGTTTTCACTGCCCCAGCAGCATTTTTATTTTGAGTTATATATGTTCCGTTTTATTTCCTTATTTCACTGCTAAAAAGTAAAACAAACATTTACCTATACTGGTGTAAAACAGCTGATCAACTACAGCAGCTCCCCTTTATTTTGGACTCAAGCACTGTGTAGTCAGCGTAAATTAAAGGGAAAGATATGCCCCCATGGAAGCAAATCCACCAATCAAAAAAATGTCCACCTTAAATGTGGGCGGGGCCGGGCCTTCAGGCAGGTTTTTTGTGTGTGTGTGTGTGTGTGTGTGTGTGTGTGTGTGTGTGTGTGTGTGTGTGTGTGTGTGTGTGTGTGTGTGTGTGTGTGTGTGTGAGCAGTGAGCAGTGTTGTAATAATGCTGTGTTTGAGGTCATAGAAACTGCAGGGAAATGCGTATCATGCAACAGCAGAAAGGATTCCATGCAGTGTGTGTTTCCCATTAAAAGACATTATGCAAAGCCTAATTGGCGTCTCCAACTCTATAGGCCACCGTGATTACAAAGGTGTTTAATATAGTGATTCAAGTGATGGATGTTGTCATAGAGCTGAACCCTGTGTGTAAAGGGACGATTCATCAAAAACAAGAATTATTCCTGTTCCTTTCTCCCTGGAAAGTTAAATGTTTGGAGGACTTAGCCAAGTCAGCTGTGTCTCTGAATTTATTTTTGGAATATTCCACTATAATATTATACATAACTGCTTCCTCAACAACAAAACATTCCCCCTCTGATACTCTCAAATGATCCACAGTCCACATCGGAGTCAAATCAAAGTCAGCCATAGTGATGTGTTCCAACCTTTTACTATACCTTTCCAAGAGTATAATGTTTATTTTCATATGATGATGTTGTTAATAATGCTATATGTAAGATCAAAAAACAAAATCCCTTGTGGTTTTCTTAAGACTCGTTTAGTTATCTGTTCTTTTTAGTATAGTTTTTAAAATGCCTGCAGTCTTCATGTTGCATTTAAAGACAAAATGCTAAACCCTTACACCTTATCACATAAAATATTACCTTTGTGGATTTGTTTGATTTTATTGTGTACCTACTGGAGGCTGCTCTGTGACCTTTTTCTTTTGTTTTTTTCAGATGATATGCCAGGAACAGAACTTGTACTCAGATCAGAACCTATTATATACTTGTCTTAAGAATACACAAATACAGTACATTTCTTTACATGTATACACACACATATACTGTATACATCCATGCCAATGAGTACACTTTCTCAGGACTGCTGTTATAAAGTCCAGAGGAAGTCATGCTACAAGTTAAAATTGTGATTTCTTTTTTTAAATGCTTGTGAACCACTTGCCCTTGGAATACACACCACAAGTTAAGATAAGTTTAGGTGATTTTTTGTTGTTGTAATATTATCTATTATCCTTTTTTTATATATGTACACTCTTTACTGCTTCTCTTCTTTGTTCGGTCTCTAACTGTACATGGTTAATAAAGTTGACTTGGTTATGCTTTAACTCATGCGAGTGAGTATTCTTCCCGATTTACTACATCATAACTTTTTTGTTTTACATTCGATTACATTAAGGCTTTATGATATCCTTCACAGTAGACATTTGAACATATATTGCTGATGATCACCACTTTCATTGCATTTTGGATGATTTAGTCAACTTTGTAACACCCATGGTGTTCCCGGTCAACAATGACTGCCATAAAGAAAAGGAATTGGTAACCATCCGGATCAGATCAAACACACACAGAAATACACACACACACACTCTAGATGTGTCCCCCCCCCCGCCCCAGAAACACACACAGAAACACACACACACACACACACTCTAGATGTGTGTCCCGTCCCCCCCTTATGTGCCCAATCCCCCCATGTGAATCACACCTGGCACTCAAACACACACAGAACAATTTGACACATTTCCTGCTCTTATGTGCCCATCCCCCCACATTGATCACACCTGGCACACGCAATACATGTACAGTGTCTATTTTTTTTATATTTACGGCAGTTGTTCATGTATACCAGTAGTCTGATACAATATGTACAGTTTGAAAGGGTCAATGGTTTTTGTGTTAATGTAATAGCAGTTAAAACAGGACCGGTCAAATTTGACCGCGAACACCAAAGTAAGGGGGGGAAACCGAAGACAATAGGAGGGTTGATTGAATAGGGATATATTAAAACACACCTATATGCACAATGCAAACGTGTAAATCAGGAGTGTCCAAAATATTTCACTGAGGGCCACATACAGAAAAATGTACGAAGATCTAGGCCCCTCACAAGAGGTGAGGTATATTGCCTCATAACTTATGATTGCAAAATTAATGATATGTAGGTAAATGATGCTTGATAATTGAATATGCTTAAAGAAAGAAAACAGTTGGTCGTAGTTTAGACAACCCTGATATAAATCATATGAGAAATTGAACAACTCAACAGTCAGTTTCACATCCTTTTTTGTACGGAGATTAGAGCAGTTGTTTTGCTGCGGTTTGACATGTTTAAAAGGGAAATGCTCTAAAGTTGCATTTAGTAGCCTCTAGGTGCTTTCACAATAGATAATGTGATGAAGTGTCTTTCCTGTTGTCGCTAGCCAATGGGTTCCTAGATTGCATTTTGGCCTATTCCTCTTTAGCTTTCAACACGGACTGTTTACCTGCATGCAACAAAAGACTAATCAATTGTCATTTAGAAAAACCACTGGCATTACTAACAGAAACCAAAACGGATTCATATGCAGATGTTTATAGAGATTAAGATAAACTTGCTTTAGGAATAGTTTGACATTTTGGGGAAATAAACTTTCATTCTTAAAGTCAGATGATGAAGTCCTGCTGCCCTGCTTTACCTTTAGGCTATTAGTTTCAGGGTTCGCTAAAGCTCATGGCTCACTGGGACACTTGAATAAAACAAAGCCACATTGATGGTAACAACACATTCAAAATGTCTGCTGTGAAAAGAAAAATGTTTCGTCACTAGCTGTTTTTGTACATAGAACAGCGATGACATACAACATTGGAAAAAGATGACTCTTCTGTCAAAACAACGTCTCTTGATGAGTTGATACCTAACGTCCTCTCTGAATGACATAGGTTAAAGAAGTGTGACCCTGATATGCAGAACATGACTACAAAAGAGAAGGAGCTGGGACTTCCTGCATCCAGGGCTCTGTTTCAACGTGCGTCCTTTTTGTTTCTAAAACTTAGAAGTACTTTCACAACAAATATTGAAGATGGTAAAACACTTAATATGAGTCGTTGACTTATTTGTGTGAAAATAATTCCCATGGGTGATAATATAACATATGAAAAATATAATTTGATTTTAAATGTTTAATATGTGTGCATGCCACTTTACTTTACTAAATACTAATTTTATTTTGTCATTATAATTATTGTCTCTTTACTGTAACTATGTCATTTCCCCTCTGAGAGACTCTCATACATTTATTTCGAGGCAAACTAATCTGTATCTGATCATTTATTAAAACCCTAAAATTATAACCTGAGACACGCAGTCTAAGTCATTTTCTACTCTACCCAGAAAACAGCCACTAATAATGTTAATACATTTATTAATGTAAAATACAAATATCATGAAGGCCTGAAAAACCAAGCATCCATTTCAAGAACACATCAAGTATGCATCAGCTATACAGACCAGGGCTGAGTGCTGCCCTCAGTGTTGTGGAGCAGGTTGTAGACGTCCACAGCCCACCGGAAGGTTCCACTGTAGCAGATCTTTCTCCCTCTGATGGTCTGGATTCTGCACAACATAGGCTACAGTAGAGAAACATAGAATTAGCACTTGTCATGAAAATCAATTTCGATGAAGTTTAATGGTGTAAATCTCCACACAAGCAGTGGGGGAAGAAGTATTCAGCTATTTTACTTGAGTAAAAGCTATAACACTTGTTTTTTCCCTTTTTTTAATACTCTTGTACAAGAAAAATACTACATTCAAACACAAAACATACGTGAGGGTGGGGGGACGTAGTAATCAGCAGCGAACCGCTTCAACACACTATTTCGGTGTATTCAAGACATTCATTTTGTTATTCTACAGTATTGTTGTTTTATAGTTATTTGTTAACTTATGTAACCCAATTTGTGTTCTTTGAAATTGAAAAGGATATCGCATTGTGTTTGTTACTTTCGTTGCAGTTGTATGTCTTAAGTGTAATTTCTCCACACCAAATTATGCATACTGAAAATGCATTAAAAATATCTACATATAAAGACGGAGAAAGTAAACGATAACGTTTATGGTTAAGTGTTAGCACCCCCCGAAGAGGCACAAGCTCTTACGTTGATATTGGAGATTGAAATTGAAACCCGAATTTTCTCCAACAAACGAATATTCGGGTACAGCCCTACTTTTTACAGCGCTACGGCTTCCACAGATACATTTTTTTAATGTATTTATTCTCAAAGCATTTAATATATTCATTCCTATCGGGATGTTAAGAGCATTCCATGGAATATAACAAAAAGTGCTTCTGAAGTGAATTACCTAACCCACCTTTAACTAACTTGCAGCTGATTGTTTGTTCCTTCCCTTTTCAGATATGGAGATCTCCCCTCTCACCTGTGACGTCAGTGTGAAGCGGCGGCACCTGGCTCTCCCCTTCCTCCAGCTCAGCCTGCAAGCGGATGTTGACGTGGTTCACCAAATGGGAGAACAGCGCCAGAGTAAAAGCAATGGACGCACTGTACTGCTTCGATCCTGAAGACACAAAACAACATTTGTTAGTACTTAGATTTTCAAAGACTGTCACAAGAAAGCATTTCCCATGGCAGTATACATTATGCACAGTTAAACCCGTTACACACTCAAATTTGTGATTTTTTGGTATTCAATCCATCAGAAACTATGCTGGCTAGAAACTGGGACAACATAATGGGTTTTTGGAGAACATTATATGTGCTTCTAGTTAATTACAAAGCTCCACTTCTTTGGTGTCTTTTTCCTCCTTTGATAATTACTCCAATTCTAAACTAGATAACCGAACCCAATGAATATGCTTTGATAAAAAGTGCACTACCCCGTTATAGTTATAGATTAGTTATTAAAACGTATTTGAAAACATTTACATTCAATAAATGGTGAAATTCACATGAGGTCACACTAACCTCCCCTCTTCAGGCTGTGCACCACCATCAGACACGTGACCACCATCTTGAAGACGAGGCTGTCAGGCAGCACGGGGCAGGAGCTCTCAGCGAGCTGCTGCTCCTCCTCTTCCTCGCTGGGGGGGTGGTGCGCCCCGGCATGTGACGGGGGCGGCAGGTAGAACAGCACCAGGTTGAAGTCCTCCAGCACCGACTGGCAGAGCGACGTCAGCTCCGTCTCCATCAGGCTACAGACACAAAGGTCATAATGAAAAGAATGCACTGGAAATACACTGCAGACAAGATAACAGTGAATCATCCCTGGGTAATGATCACAACACTGTATCAGTTCAGTGGAGCAAGTAGAGCGACCAGGAATGATCATATGCTATTTTTTGCCGTACTTCATTTTTACTCATGAGTACATTTTTACCCCTAGTTTGTTTTACCATTTATTCAGGAAGTAAACATTAGACACTGATCTGATATCACTGGAATCATTAGAGATGGATTCATTTGATTATAAGTATGAAAATGCTCAACAAACTGTGTTCATGTGGTCTTAACATACCAATAGACTTGTTAACGATTACAAATACCGTAATTTTCGGACTATAAGCCGCGCCTTTTTTCGACGCTGCGGTTTATATAACCGTGCGGCTAATCTATGGATTTTACAGCTAACGGCCAACACCTTTAACTCTATGGGCTCTATGGCCGGTCCGCGGACCCCCAACTTTAAGCGGCGGGTTCCAGCAGGAAAAGCTGGAGGCCGGAAAAGAGTGAGACAGGTAGCGCGCAAAAGTAAAAGTGGAACCGAGAGTGGTACGAGAGACAGAACGAGAGCAAGACAGACAGACATTACGAGAGCGAGACAGTTTGTCCCCGTACCACTGGTTGAAAACCGCTGCTGTAGATCACTGCCGGTACGTGCGCTGGGAGCGCACCGTTTAAGTTTGAAAGTTGAAAAGTTTGTGTGTCTGAAACGCTATGTGATACAGTACAGTTTACACAGCACAGTACATGTTCTGTAGCTACTATTGCACTAAATGGTAACACTTGAATACGTTATGCAAATATGCAACTTGTTTGTTGAAATGTTAATAAATGGGAGCTTCCTCAAACAGCCATCTCTTTCCCGACAATCACCTCTGTGCACGAACCCTTACATATGGTAATTAAACATTAAAACACCTGCGGCTTATAGTCCAGTGCGGCTTATATATGTACACATCATTCAATTTAGCTGCTGCGGCTTATATTCAGGTGCGCCTTATAGTCCGAAAATTACGGTACATTAAAGCCAGAGCCTCATTTCCACTGTGGACTGGTTCAGTGGTGAAAGACGGGAGATCTCACCTGTTCTTGGGCTGCAGCAGGCTCTGGAGGTACATGAAGCTCACCAGGAGGTGCTTAATGTCTTTAGATCTGCGCAAAATAGTCACAGCAAAAATATCTTATTAACACAGATTCAAAATTCAGTATTTTGTTTGCATTTTCATTGAACACTTTAAAAAAGGTGCCTCAAAAACATTTGAGCCAAAACCCCTCAGCATAAATACTGGAAGCAGGGAAATAACCAGTGTGTACACAAGCAAATGGCAAAATGACACACATACCTCGCTAAATAAAAGAAAACCAGCCTTGGTTTCTACCAACGTATATTGAGAAATAATGAAAAATACTGTTATTTGCCCACACACACAAAAAAACAACATGACATTGGTTTATTTATTTTACACTCCAGTCTTTATCTCTTGAAATGCTTTTATTACATGCTTCATTTGCCTTTAATTCCTACTTCTTGGTGTTACTAGCATTTGTTTCATGCTTGAACAATATCCTTTCCCCTCAGGGATCATCAATGATCTAATCCCATCTGCAGAGAGACGCTGCTTATCCAAACACTGGTGAGAGTGTGTTTGTGATTCAAACGGCAGGCAAGCAAGTTGGTAATCATGCGAATCCCCAGATGTCACTTGGAACCAAAATGGCTCTGCTCAGTGAAGTGAAAATATTTAATTTGAGTCTGATTTGAACCAGGCAAGCCAGTGAAAACCATTACTGATACCACTGCTGTCCAGAGGGGGCTCATGTTTCCCTGAACACCAGAAATGTTTCCACTCGGGACGTAATTCATTTGAATGTGTCGGGGGAAATTTCGTTTTTTTTATTCTGTGAATGCTCCTCACCTTTGTCGAGATGGAGACAGCTTCTTCATTTCCTGCTTCTTCACTTGGTGGTACATCTTGGAAGCTTTGTCAAACAGGCGCTTCAGGTTCCCATAGGCGCCTTCGAAGGGGGATTCTGATTGGATGCTGGCACAGGTAAAAACATATGGTAAGACTCTTATCTTATTACGTTGTATCTTAAAAGGTTAACATCACACGTAATTTGACAGAGACATTACTCACCAGCGTAGGTAGTAGTAGGTTGCTTCCACGTTATAGAACTTGCTCCCTGCCAGTGTGCCCAGCTGGTTGAAAGGCATTCCTGTAGACAGGTGAAGGGAATTAATCAACAGCTGGGTGATGTGTGGACTGAGAATCTTTTACTTAAGGTCAATTTGACAAATAAATACATGCCAAAAAAGTAGGCAGTGCCATCAACTAGGATTCACATTTTGTCATATCACGGGAATATCCTGATACTATATGCAAAGTTGATCACCGTATGCATTCTTCCAGGAGAAAAGTAGCAAGGAGTAACAAAATAGTTCAAATAAAAGAGACAAATAAATCGGCAATCCCACTAAAGCCTACATTTCTGATTAAAGCACTGAAGCTCAGTGAGTCACATGTTATAGCTCCTTAGTTTAATTTGAATAAAAACTGAATAGTAAAAATGACTCGTACTAATATTACATCATATTTAACCAGCAGAGTAGTTACGGCTCCTGGCCAAGAAAATGTCTGGCTCACAAGCATCCTGTAAATTGGCAAATTGTTGTTTTAATATTTTTTGTACAAATTAAACAAACAAGACATGTGTGAGTGAGCTGTGGTGGTCCTGATAAGAACATGTTGTTACACTTTGGACGGAGCCAAGCTAGCAATTTCCCTTTTTTTTAAACTTTTTATCCTTAGCTTGGCTAGTGGTTGCTGGCTTACATTTAATTTGCAAATGCTGTTTGGATACAGCTCTCACAAAGAAAGCCAAGAAAGCCAGTGTTCCCTCAAAATGGTTTCTTATTGAGTTTGAACACATAATTCACTGAAATCTAAACACCACATTCACCCACAACGCCATTATGAAGAGAATTCATTTCTGAAAGCATCCTTTGTTTAATTTCTGTGTTTTTCTATTGAACATTAAAAAGGTCCCCTATTATACTGTTTGGCATCAATATATTACAGGTCTCAGATATATACAAAACATGTCTCTGAAGTGTTTGGCTCCAAACACCAAACAGATCATTGCAGCATCCCATAATCCCCTCTGTTTCAGCCCTGTTTCAAAAGTGCTGATTCTCTGTCTTT